AATGTTTGTTAATGATTGTGTGCTTGTTTGTTTTAGACTGTCAATGATGAGTGTGTTTTGTGTCAGACTGTGTATCAATGATGAGAGTGTGTCAGGTTGTGTGTTTGTGTGTCACACTGTCAGTGATGAGTGTGTGTTGGAATGCGTTTGTGTCAGTGTCAATGAGATTGTGTTTGTGTCTTTAAAACATCAAGTTTCAAATAAAAAAATTTTTTAAAATATGTATATGTATACAACAGTATATTAACATATGTGTAATATATTGACATTTAGTATTCGTATATATTGATATGTATATATTTTATGTTTATAAGATAATATAATACATATACATATACATTTGAGGAACACTCCAACGTTAAAAGCCACTTTATCAACCCCAGTAGGTGCCAGGCGCCCCCCAAAATATCTGACAGTAAGTCTTCTCTTACTGCTGTTCTGCTCAACCCCCGGGAGACTGTCAGTGTCCACAGTGTCCCTTCCTTTCTTGGTGAAATTGGCTCACGCTCTGCAGTTACAGCAAATGCACCAGGGGGGAGGGGTAAAGAAACGCAAGCAAAGAACCTCCAACAAAAATCAATCAACAGAAAGCTACCCGCTGATTGGAAGAATAAAGAAGACTGGACCAGTAAATGCAAAAAACCTTGCTGTAAACTGTGTCAAAACACACACACACACACACACACACACACCAATAAAACCTACAGCATTAAAGGCAATGTGGTATACATGATTCAGTGCACCACATGCCACCTAGGATGCTACATTGGGGAAACCACCTAGCAATTAAATGGCAGAATAAATATGCACAGACACTCCATTAAACACCACAAAGAAGGATCGTACTGCACTCCTGTTGGACACCACTTTACCCAGCTTGGCCACTTAATTAAGGTTCTAAAAATCAAAGTACTGAAAGGGGGTTTTAAAAATACCCAAGAAAGAAAAACTTTTGAAACCAGAATGATCAAATTGTTTAACAGCAAGAATAGAGGACTAAATATTGATTTGGGTTTCCTGTCCCACTACCAACACTTTACATGAACACTCTCCCAGCATTATCTTACTATTCCGTCATATGTAGCAACACTTCAAAACGCATTCCAATATGTTTATTCTATCAATATATAAGTACTATTTGTAGACCTATGCTTTCCCATACTCTTATGCGTGTATGCTTATATATGTGACTGTGCATTTATATTTATATATGAGTTCATGTGCATGCATATATATTTGTATGTGTGTATGTATATATATATATATATATAAATAAAGTGTACCATCTTCTGCACTGTCTGCTTGATTTTTTGTATTTTCCCTCTCCCCCCTCACTCTGATCTTCAGAAAGATATTTATTTTCTATAAAACCTGTGTCTTATCTGCACTAATGTCGCTTTAACCCCTGTATCACAACTCAACTTTGAATTCTATGTGTCGTCTTGCTCAGAAATGCTTCAGACTTGAGAAAGGGAGATTCTCCCATAAGCTTGTCATAAAAAATTCTGTCCAATGGTCCAATAAAAAAAGGTATTACAAGATACAAATTGTATTTGTTTTTTTACACACTATATATATATATATATCTATATCTCATTTAAAAGTGAAAAGGCTCCAAATTCAGATATGACATATTACAAGCCCAAAAGAATGAGGTACCATGGCTAGAGAATTTATCTTCTTTTACAAATGATATGAGGGCAAAAGGCAGATGAATGCTACTATTTTGCCATGAAAGTGACATAGGCCCAATAAATAAATCAACAGAAATAGTTACTTAAATTGCCATGTCTGTAATTGACCCTATATAGTCTCAAAAATCTGTCAGGGGCCTGCACGTGGTGCATTGGTTTATTCGGAGGCAGTAGCACCATACAAATCGAAGATCTTTAAAAGTTCTGTGAAATTCCACACAAAAAGAAAATGCTTTGTGTGGAACACAAAATTGAGGCCCCCCTTCATGAAAAGTGTCAGTCATGAGTGGGTTAACAGTCAATATTTTTAGTAATTGAAACTTTTTTAAGTGCTCCTGGTTTAACAAGAGAGGCAATATTTAGCTGTGTTTAGTATGTAAGTATGTATTAGCAAAATAAATACTCGTTTAAAAGGTTTATGCCTTTATGTTACTGTTTTTTGTTTTTTTCATTTGCTCTTTAATCAAATATTTGAAATCACAGTGTGCCATTCAAAAAAACAAAAATGCAAAACATTGTCAAGGTTATTTGCTAAGTAAACTGTCTGGAACTGAAAATTTTCAAAAGTTTGATCTAAACAGCCAAACGTGAAAAGAGAAAAAAGTTAGCTATTATTTCAATACAGCTATTTTGGTCTAAAACCTGAAATTCACCTAAATTTCAACAATTCACACTTTTGTGAATAAACATATGTGTTAAACTATTTTTTGGACGTTTCCTATAGGATTACATTAGAACATTGTGTGGTCACCAGTCCTAATGTAAGGTTTTGATTAGAGGTTGATCTTCCATACTTTTAGAAGTTTATTATTTTTCATAGAACGCATTGTGAACTTGTCGGCTATGGCCGCATCCCATGAATCAGATGATTCTCATGGAGAAGCACTGAACACAGCGCTTCTTTCAGAGAAGCACGAACAGCTTTCAGTGTTATTTTGCTGTCCATGATGACACCGAATGTAAACTCCTTCCAAAATCAAATGTCTGGGGTTGAACCGTCGAGTAGGAGGCCAACTTGCAGAGCTCCGGTTATGAGCCCCTAAAATATGCCAAAATACCATTCACCGACCCAAGAAAGGGTCAAGCAGGTCTGTTTAATGAGCACACAAAGGCAACAGCACTCACGCAGCAAAACAACTCCTCCTCAGAGGAAAACAAAATGACAGTTAAAGACAGACAGAGTTTGAATATATAAAACAGTTATTAAGAGTTTAAACTAGTGTTCTAAGAAGGGAGGGGAGAACAAAACAGACAAACTAAGTCCATAAAACAGGGGTTTTCTTCACACTCTGCATCCGAAGTGCATAGCAAAACTGCAGATCCTTTGTCAGAGCATTTAAAGGGCCAGAACCAGTCTAAAAAAAAACAATATGCCCAAATAACGTATTTAAAGGGCAAAATCTTCCAGGGGCCATAGTCATACGGCAAGAGGCTGGTAATTAGACCTCTACAGGCACAAGTGGTGAAGGACACTTCATCACACCAGAATTGGGGGGGGGTGGAAGCGATCCCCAGCTTTTATTTAATACCCTTTGAAGCCCCTTACATAGTTCAGCATGCAAATGCAGTCATCTCAGGCCTACTTCAAAAAGAGAACCTCAGTTGGGCGTTTGAGGAAAACTATAAGCCTAATGCCAGATCCTGGAAAAGTGAGATACCACAGCAGAAAGATTTTGGTTCCACCAGAGGTGCATCACTGCGTAGGTGTCCCAGCTATTTCCAGCAGGAAATGAAACGAAATCGAACGGGTATCTGAAATGCCCTGGATGAGTGGCCGTTGAAGGGTAAGACATGTGGAGGCACTTAATTCGACCTACTGGAGCCTGCTGATGTGGTAGAGGTGCAGGAGACGGCCGGTCGGTGGACTCTGAGGGTGGGCACATAGACTTGTGGGTCCTCCAAGTGCCTGCTGTGCCGCAGGATTGCTGTGGGGAAGCAATGACTGGCATGGGAGGCCATGCGGTGGATCCACATCCACAGGGGCCCACACATTAAACTTTATGTAGAATTCTTTGACTGCTGGGTACTGACCCTTTTTCCCTTTGCAGATCGTCCAAAGTTTTCCCCCCCCTTTTTTTTTTTTTTTTTGCCAAGGGAGCCTGGTGTCCTAACTAATACTTTGGCTTTTATTCTTTTTATTTTATAGGCCGGCCAAACGTGCTTGGAATAAGATCTCTGGTGGCACTGGGACATATTCCCGCAAGTCCCAGGCTGAGGATTTTCATGTAGTGGCCCTACTTGAGGGCTTCCCTTATTATCTTTGTTTTAGTCTATGTGACTTAGTAGCTTATAGTCTGCAGTACATATTTGAGATACAATCACAAGCGTTTCACTGCGTAATGTTACACAACTCCAATGTTAACTTTGAGTTTTACATGTCTGGCTTATTATACTGCATTAAGATTTATTATTAGGATTTTCTTCCCAAGCTTATATGGTTTGGGTAGATGTTGCGTCTATGCACTGTTGCCAACAGGAGATTTCATACATGCCAAATCCAACACAAGGAAAAAGGGGGGGGAGGGGGAGACACACACAAAAAAGATAACACTACTGAACAAAGAAGGAAATTGAAATGATTACTGTTTTTCATTTTGTTGATAATGTATGCACTCATATTTGTCATGCATTTGAATGTGTATTAATGCATATACCTGAATTTACGATTGTAGCTCACTTGATGGAGTTAAGCGGGCACATGCTCTCGCCTAATTTTTTTCTCAGGGAGCTTAGAACAATCATTTTCACAGCACCACCAACAGCTTATTTACAATTACTAAAAGTATATGGGAACTGTGGATCTGATCCCTTATTGCGTTTGACAGCTCACTAGCTTTTCCACAGCTATGCTAAGCCTCTGCGTAGGCAAATTCATTTCAAATGCCATCTATGTATAATGTACTTGACTTTGTTATGCTCAAAAATAAAAACTATTTAAAACAAAATCGAAGGTCTTGAGTATAAAATGCCTCTAGAGTGGTGTTCTCTGGCAAATGTAAACGCTGCCATTTCCACATTGCCAGAGAAATTTGAGAGAATTAAGTGGTTTTCGTGCTTAGAGTTTTCCTTTAAGGCTTTTAGTGTTAAAGCAGTCGATGATAAGCTTGTTTATTTTTTTTCTTCTTTTATTAGAAATGCAACTGTACTTTTAAAATATTGTTTTTTTGTTTTTTTTTAAAGAGTCTGATACAAAATAACCCCAATCACAGTAAAAAAACGCAATTAAAGATACTTTTGCAAAACATACATTTTCATATATATTAAAAAAACATTTTTAAAGGACACACAACACCACAATTTCAATAACTAAAAAAATAAAATAAAATAATACCTGAATGATCCATCCAGGTTAGCTCTGTGAATAAAACTTAGCTTGGCATCAGCCCAATAAAGCTTTTGCTCTTCTAAGTCAACTGTTAGCCCATTGGGCCAATAAATATCCGAGTCTACTATGATTTTGCGGGTGCTCCCATCCATTCCTGCACGTTCGATACGTGGTGCTTCTCCCCAATCTGTCCAGTACATGTACCTACAAACAGAGGATCATTTTTTATTTATGGATTTATTTTTACTGCAAATAATCAAGAAATTGAAAATACATAGGTTATTAGATATTTCATGTAGACTGGTTTGTAAAACACTGCAGTTTTCTTTTTTAAATCCTAGAGCGTCATGCTGAGAGTTTTACTCTATGTCCAACGTAAACAGATGACACACTGTGTGCTATTTAAACAGCAATTAATAGTAGTCCCATGTGTTTTAAATATGATTTTTCCCATATAAATAGTACTTTGACCATGACTACTAGTTCTCTAAAACATGCAGAAGTATCTTAATTAGTCTAGCACTGAAAATCTAGATATTCTACAGGAAGCGTACCAAAAAAAAAAAAAAAATCAGAATAAATATGCTCTAAATAGTGTCCATAATTGGCAAGCTGTTGGATAAAGTTGGATTACGATCAATTTTGCCAATCTGAGTCAAACACCTTAAAGGGACAGTCTAAGGATTCTACATTTTTACATTAGCTGACACACTCAGAGTGTCAATGTAGCAAGTAAGCAGCAAGTGAGGGGCCGTGCCGTTGGTGGTTTGGGGACACCCGGTTTTGGTCAAGTCACTTGAAAATGGTTTTACCCACAACCAGAGTTGACACCAAATCACAGTATGTAGTAGTTGACAGCTGGCCATCTCGTCTCTACACTTCTAAATATTTAATACATTTGTAGAAACAGCCAAAAACTAAATGTATAATAGAACTTGGTGATAATGGAATGTGTACAATCAGTAGACAGGGAGATGTCTAAAGGTTCTTGTGTATTAAACTGCAAGGCTTTTTTCAAGTTTGTCAAAAAGTTCATATAAATAGTTTTTTAACATTTCAGGCATTAGTCTGACAGAGGACTCATGGCGAACAGTGAAATGCTGCCAAAATTAGGACCCAACTCTGGGCTTTAGCCCCAGTCAGTCCCTCTCTAGCGACATCCCTGTTTCCAGCACAGTATATCCCTTGATCTTTTAGAACAGAGGTGGGGAACCTTCGGCCCTCCAGATGTTTTGGACTACATCTCCCATAATGCTCTTGCGGCCATAATGCTGGCAAAGCATCAAGGGAAATGTGGGGAGGGCCGAAGGTTCCCCACCCCTGTTTTAGAAGCTTGTCTTCCATGCCTAAAAGTTGAGAAAGGTGATCAATGCAAAGTTTCCTTAAATGATGTCAAACGCAAAGTGGTAGAGTTATACATGGAGAAAATTGGATAGTTTTAAGAAGATACAGTCTTTCACACTACAACAAGCTGGTTACAATGTTTGGTGTGCCTTTAAAGAGGCACTGTAAGCACCATAACCACTTCAAATTGAAGTGGTTATAGTGTCTGGAGTCTGTGGTCACCGGGTCCCACATCACTGCTAAACAGTTTACTAGAGATACTCTATCTCTGGCAGCCTGCAGCCCAGCCTCTCATTACACAATTGTAGAGATGGTCATATGCTCTGCTTCAGTACACAAAACCTTTGGATCCAACTCAGACTCCTCGATTTAAGGTAGAACCAACTTCAACTCAGATTTCGGGGTACTGTTCCACCGTACAGATTCTGTTTCATATCCGAAGACACCAAAACTGCCCTTGGTCAACAATGCGAGAGCGCATCATTAGACACGCCCAAGTCGTGAACAGGCACTAGGACCCTGCAGAGAGAACTTCAGAAGCAGTCTCTTCAAGGTCCTGAAGGTTGGCCTACCCCATTATGGGTGTTGCCAGTAACACGAGCCTCGTCTCTGGCAACGTAACCCGCTCTTATCGCCTTACCTCCCATCGTTGGGAGGTATGGATGCAGGCTCTGGCACCCTTAAACTCCAGGCATCACAACCAATTCAATATTCTTACGGTTATGGTTCCAATAAATATACTACCGATTCAGTAAACTAGGGATTTAAAACTCTGCCCCTTGCTCCCCACCCCCACATGTAGATGCCATACACTAAATATTGAATAGAAAATTAAAACGAAGAAAGAAAAAAAAAAACCCCCAAAAAAACAACCTCATAGCGGATTTCTGGTGATATATTTAACCCCTTAAGGACCAAACTTCTGGAAGAAAAGGGAATCATGTGTCCTTAAGGGGTTAAAGGAACAATATAGTCAGTCAGACCACTTTATCTCAATGAAGTGGTCTGGATGCAGTGTCCCTGTACTTAACCCTTTTCAAAAACTACAGGGTTTTGCATTGCAGGGTTCAAGTCCACCTATAGAGGCAGTCACTATGACAGCCACTATTGGCATTTCCGCAGCACTTCCCAAGTAAAGCTGTTAAGTGTTGCGGAAACCCCATAAGATTATTTTGATTCTATGAAATCTGAATACGCAAGTAGCATGAAGATTGGACATTGGCGGAGGATACCTTGTGGAGAGATAAGCTGTGCCAAAAGTGTCTTGGCACTGGGAAGAGGTAAGTAACACTTGTTTTTCCTTTTTTCTAAATTTTAAAGCATGATGGGCACTCTTGAAAAAGACATTTGTATTCCTAAAGCTATACTGTCCCATTAATGGTGTAATTCCTGGAGAAATGATAAGTCCCCTTTAAGAGTTAATTGTAGATGCTCTTACACAATCTCAATGTTTTACTGTAAATGGGCTGCCCATCCTACTTGCAATCATGATTCGGCTGCAAGCCTCAGAAATATGCAATTATACATTCAGCCTGTCACCAGCAATGCTAGCCCCAGACTATGACACAAACAAGCAAACTGCACACACAAGCCTTTATATGACACGGTTTGTAGAAAAATGGCCACCACTGAAGAGTCTTTGTTTATATAAATAAACAAAAGTTGGTCACATACAACCAGCTACTCTTTATCAATGCAATAATAAAATGAATCACTGGTGAAATGGTGCGGGGACCAGAGGTATTTTCATAATGCCAACAATTTTCATCTAACAATGAAACTATTTCAGAACTTTAAATGTTTGGTTAATGTTTTTTATGTACTGGCTTTTTGAAAAGCACCATACAATACAACCAAACACGGGTTTTTGGTAGTATAGCATAGTAATTTATGGGATATTTACCAACTAAGAAAATATAGAGAGAACTGCATTTTGAATGATAATAGGCTACTGTGCAAAAAAATTGCCATTCCCTCTTTAAAATGCCTTAGTTTATTCATACCAGTGTACCCATTTTGACAACACGATTGACAGCTGTAATCTCATAATCTCAGACTATAAATTGCTGGTTAGAATATAATATATAAAGCAAATCAATTTAAATCACTAGTCTTTCTTTAATTTATCAATTTAAAACCGTAAATAGTCATTCTGGCTGGTTGTTATGTTTTATATTTGCAATCAGATGAAGATGTAACTTTTCACATTATTTTAATAGTTATAGCAGAATAAGAAATTACATAGGTAGATAATGATGAACTATCTCCAGTTTAATAGGTTTATCACTCATATTTGGAGAATAAGTAAAATGGTTTATTTTAGCACCATGACCACTTCAGCGATTTGAAATGGTCACAGTGCCTGGAGTGTTATAGGGTGTTATTAGCCAGCTAGCCCACAAAAATGTAAAAAATATTGCTTTTGTTTGTTTTTTTGCACAGTGCAACATCCATTGGTGGAGAGTAGTCAGCGAATGGCAAATTAATTGGCTTCCAGTTTCTGTAGAGCTGCAGAAGAGCATCACCGCAGCAGTAAGGAGACACTGAGCGATGAGGTGGCCGAGGTAAGAGGGCAAACTATTACTAGTATAACAAATTGCCCAATTTGGACCAGAGTACAGTGGGCTGTAGCGGTTTGTGATGCTTGGAGCGATCCTTTAAATTAAAGATGTTCATTGTGTGTACAAAGATTTGCAGAACAATGAGATTAACATGTTTTCCTGAACTGTGTGTTTATTTTATACAATTTTTACTGAAAACGTGCACGAAAAAGTGCATGTTATCACTACGGACACAAGTGCAATTACCTTGAACTAATGGAATGAATTCACAAAAAACAAAATATTGCCTGAATTTAAACCCTTTTGCTGAATAACAAATCCATATTCCGTGCTCCATAACATTTGGACTAGACTGTATCTTAAATAGGAAAATATCTTTAGTTGTTTTTGTTTTCTTTTTCCTCGAAAACCATTTTACTAAACTAAACCCTGTTTAAATAAAAAACAAAGAAAACAAAAAACTGATGTTTTTATGTTTTTTATTCATCAATGTTTATCTAATCTGCCACAGGTCACATATGAATTAATCATAACTGGACAATATAGTTTGAAATGGTCCAATTGCTTTAAACATCTTTACGTTTTAAGGCAAGCAGAGTTAAAACCCTTCTTGCATCCAAGTAGGAAACCAATAGGTACAGGTATCAATGGATATTGAAGCTCCATCTGTAAACAGGAAAAGTCCCAAGCTGAATGATCAGATGGATAAGCACTCAGAGTAAGTGTGGTCACATCCCATTGAAAAAGACATAGCTGAACATTAGTGTTCGTCTGACGTACTAGGGATATCAGGGGAAGACCCACAGAGTGTAACAAGACGCTCTCCCAGTAACCCACAATTGTCTGTTCGCACTGCCAGTTTTATCAACAAAGAGTAATTCGCAACTCAGAGCTCAGCTACACATCACTGGGAGAAAAGCAGTGCGCCTTTCTCCACAATGTGTAGATCTGATAGTGTACAGAACTGTACACACTGAGCAGGCTGAAAGGGAACCTTAGTGATGGAGATCCCCCAAAATGGCCTTTAATTAACTCATAAAATGTAAGGTATAAAGAGGAATAAAAAATAAATAAGCAAATATTTAAAAATCCAATTTATCCATGGTAAAAAAATACAAATAATATTTATACAATAACAAAAAGGGTAGGCACTGACAAGCAACTCCTTTCTTAATCACATTAACTTATTTTAATTGAAGCTGCCCACTCCTCTAATTAGTCATGAAGGACAAATAAGGATAAGGTAAGAACGTTCTCATCAACATAACAATCACATCACAATTACTGACCATAATCAGATATCAAAGAGCCAACAGATGAAAATAATATTTACATAAAGGAGTAATTGAGAAATATTGCACAACAGAGAATAGATCAATGTATAACCTTAAAATTAACAGTAACTGTTTTGTTGAAGTAATATTCATGGGGGATGGTGCAAAGGAGTTCAAGGTAGGAGATGTTCAGAGCAACAGTCATCAAACAGATAAGATTGTTTATATTTACATTGCGAAACAAACATCTGTATATTCTTAAGTAAAGTACATCATGGCTATTTTGCTAAATAATAATTGCTATGAAACTTTACTGTGAAGAGTCACGCAGCGTCCAAGCACATATTGACATGATCCTCGGGAGGGCTGCAACTTCAAAAGTATTTTAAAGGTTCACTATAGGGTCAAGAACATATACATGTATTCCTGACTCTATAGTGCTAAACCCACCATTTAGGTGGGTTGCCCCCCTCCCCCCACCCTTTAAAACTCACCTTATTTCCAGCGCTGCGCGGTTCTGCCAGTGCTGACCCCGCCCCCTTTGTGACATCAGAAAAATTGCAGATTTTTAGCCAACCCAATGCTTTCCCATCCCTATGCCATTCCCATCCCAAACATTGGATTGGCTAAAATCGCCTTTTTGGTCAATCAGGACCTCCTCATAGAGATGCATTGAATCAATGCATCTTTATGAGGTAAATTCAGTGTCTCCATGCAGAGCATGGGGACGCTGAACGGCAGGGCTGCTTATTGTGCAGCACTGAGCCAGGAAGCACCTCCAGTGGCCATCTAAGGAGTGGTCACTTGGAGGTGTTCCTAGAGGCAATGTAAACACTGCCTTTTCTGTGAAAAGGCAGTGTTTACATGAAAATGCCTGAAGGGAGCTAATATACTCACCAGAACAACTACATTTAGCTGTAGTTGTTCAGGTGACTATAGTGCTCCTTTAAATTTGAATATTTGGTAGTATGTGTACCTGATAAAACAAATACAGAAGTGACTCGGAGCAACAGGACATAGAAAAATGTGACACCATCTTGGACCTCGTTTATATTGGAATTGTATCTCTGCTATTGATTGTACGGATTACTTTAAAGGGGCCGCGTTACAGGCACAGAAATCGGCTCAGCCAACTACTCAGGTGGCAGTACCTGTACTCACACCTGCACTGCTTCAGCCTAGCCGCAAGGCCTCATATAAGGATAAACACTCCTCCAAAATAATAGAGACGGACAGTACCATACCTGTCACCGATGGCGTGACTAATTTACCACCTCGCAAGAGAGCCACTAGTCGGGCAAAGTCGACTAGACTTTGGAAAAGAGCAAAAGCCCAACTGAACTCTCAATCTGAGCTCAGTGATATTGAGGAGGAGTTACCGGAGTCCTATATGGAGAATTCAGAGAATCTTTCTGATCCGGATTATGAAATTACTGATGGAGAGGATGCTAATCCCGCGCGGGATATACGTCCTATTAAACCTACCAAGATTGAAGTAGATCATGTGGTCTCAGGGGACACCGATAGGATCTTGGACACTCAAGGTGAACCCCTATTCGAGCCTGACAACCTATGTCACCCAGTGGTCTCCTCAGACCAAGTAGCCAAGTATATTGCATCCAGAGTGCGCAAGCCTTTTGAGAAGGAAAAGTGAAATAAATTGGGGGCTGAATGCCCACGCCAAACAGTCCCTCATGATGCATGTAAAACGAGATGATCATTCAATTCCTGAGTAAGACAGAATGGACGCCTACTAAAGGCTTAGATTTCCATTGCAAAACGGTCAGGATAAAATCTTTGAAGCAGTATAGAATGATCTAGAATTAGATTGCGCCATCTTAAGTGGTTAGATCCAGAGTGTGATTTAAGCAACGGCAACAATGCAGTTGTCAGAACGCCGCAAATCGATCTTGCTCAAGATTGAGCCCATACGTGTAACTATGGCTCTGAACGAGCCGGACATACAGGCAAAAGGATCTCTCTTTGGGGACAACTTTGTAAAAGAATTGGGCTCCTCTGTCCACACATTGACTGCTCTAGATAAAATGCAATCCAAGATGCGCAAGTTATTTAACCCCTAGTGATTTTGCTGGGGCCAGAAAAGCAAGGTGCAGTATAAATAATAAATGAATAAAATAATAAAATAAATGAACAATGAATAAACAGAAGTTATTTTAGACAGAACCAAGGCTCTTATACTGGCCGAGCCAATTTCTTTGAACAATGCACTATACCAAACTTCTTCCAATGACGTGATCGACCCTGGGTTGTTAGTGGCCTAAGAGATGCTCATTCAGGATGAAGACCTTATGGTAAGTCTTCACAATCTCCATTCTTTCCTACTGATAGTGGGAGGCAGGCTCACACATTTTTCACATTTATGGTCCCTCATTTCATCGGATGCTTAGGTTCTTCACACTGTAAAAGGGTATTGCATAGACTTCCTTTCTCTACCTGTTCAATGTTCCCATTGAGGGAAATTGTTTTTTCCCCAACGAAACACAGACCTGGTCTCCGTTGAAATAAAATAACTGATGCGCAAACAAGCCATCGTAGAGATTCCAGCCCATACCCTAGGTTACGTGCGCAACAGCAGACAGCTCAATGGTTATGAGGCACATCAGCACTTCCAAGATTGAAGGAGGGCATTGCTTAAGAGATCTTCTCCAAACAGCAGATGGGATGGCCAAATTGGACCTGCAGGATGCATATCTCACAGTGCCTATCGCAGTCCAACATCAAGATTCCATCAAGATCAAGAACTTCCTGCATTTCACATGGTAGGGCAGTAAATGGAGGTTCAGGTGCCTCCCGTTCGGACTGTCTTTGGCTCCATGATGCTTCACCAAACTCATGAAACCTATGATCGCCCTGCTACAGAGTCGGGGAGAATGTATTATAATACATTTAGACAGCATTTTCATTCTGGCTCAGTCTATTCAATGACTCCTGACATTCCATTCCTTGCCTTTGACTCTGTTAGAGAACCTAGGCTTTCTGATCAATTGGGAGAAATTCATTATTGTTCCCACGCAACAAATCAAATTTCTGGGTTATATTGCATTATTGTAGAATCTACCCTTTAAACTCTAGACCTCCTGGTGGCAAAATTAGCCAGTATCAAGAAGGAGATAGGCGAACACTAGCAACCGCTCAACTCTCTCTCAAACAACTATCGAGAATGTTAGGCCTTCTAGCAGCTTCTATACAAGTAATTTTTTCAGGTCTTCTTGGCTAACGAGCCGTACAACGATCACAAACTTCATCTCAAGGGCAGCGCATCATTCACGGATATGGTAACTCTGGACTCAGAAGCAAAGGATGAACTCCAATGGTGGCTTTGTCACATGGAAGCTTGGAATGAACGGGCCATATTCTGTACAGCTCCAGATTGGATAATCAAATCAGACGCAGGTTTGCACGGTTGGGGCGCTCAATGTGGAAATATTTCCACCAAGGGCAGATGGTCAGACCTGGAATCGACACTCCACATCAATTGCTTGGAACTTCTGGCCTGTTCCTTTGCAGTCCGCAGTTTCTCCCCAACTCATGCCCAATGTGCTATCCTTCAGAAGATGGACAACGTGTCAGCTGTCCGCTACATCAATCGATTGGAGGCACAAAATACTAAATTCTGACCTACATGGCTCGCGATTCTGGCGATTTTGCCTGATGCATGGCATTTCAGTCATGGCAGAATATATTCAAGGTCTCTCCAACACTACGGCAGACTGGTATTCATGCCTACTCAGAGATTCCAGTGAATGAAACTTGGATTTCATGTTCTTCCAAGACATCTGGAACCTATGGGGTCTATTGGAAAAAGATTTTTTTCCACTTCTCGTTTGAATGCTCAACTTTCCCAGACCAGATCTGACAGCACTGGCTACGAATGTTTTCTCCCAAGATTGGTCTTCAAGGAATTACACTTTTCCACCCTTTCCTCGTTGCCTTTTTCCATCTGCGTCGCCAATTCGGCACCTGGTGATCATGGCTCCTCTATCGCCATACCAACCATTGTTCCCTCCTCTTCAGGAGATGGCTATCGACCTTCCACGCCTCCTTCCATTTCTCGGACAACAAAAACTTCCTCTAAAATTATTTTATACCCAACTTTACCTGATAGATCTCTCCTTTGCCCTGTTGCATACTTATGGGTGTATGAACTTCATTCCACTACGTTATGGAATCCTTTGAAACTGGAACTCTTCATCTCCTTCCAAAAGTCACGTCTATCTGTGTCTACCCTAGCCTGGTGGGTCAAATATGTTATGTCTCTAGCAGGTATTGATACTTATGTGTTTGCGTCTCATTCGGTTCGTGGGGCAATGGCTTCTAAGCTTCCTCAATTGGTTGTCGCTTGGAGGATATTATGAGAGCAACTGGTCTTCAGAGTCTACATTCCATGATTTCTACTTTAGACCTATTCAACACTTCACAGGAAACATAATTTCACAGCTTTACACTAGCATAATAGGAGCCCCCGTGTCTTAATAAAATTCACAGATTTTACTATTAACATGACGTAAAGTCGTGATTTTATGAATAACACGAAGGAGAGCATTATCCCTCCCTCCCATCCCTGGAGGTTTGGTCTTCTCTGGATAAGTATTTTCATGATAACTGGGTTTTATTGGCTAAACTGAATTTTTTATATATATATATATATATATATATATATATAAAAAATACAGAATCCAGCGCACTCACTTATTCACTAAACAATGCTTTCAAAATCTTAGAGATTGTAATAGTTTTATTTAAAAACACCTCACCTAGGCAAAAAATAATGGGGGTTTAGTTACATTATATGATCATATATTGCATAAGCCTGCCACAACGTCAATGTACCCCATTCTTGGCAGGTCCTACTCTAGCAGCCTAATGCTTGCCCTTATGAGATTGATCCACTTACTTGGGAAATACTTCCTTACTGGGACTCTCTGCAAGTCAAGGCTAAATAGGGTCCTGGAATGAGGCACCTGTGACAGGGAGGGGTGCAAAACCAAGGAGCTGGCCTAGACTCCCAAATATACAAACAAAACCAAGAGGGCTGCACTCACCTAAACATGCATACATTATAGGGTGCTGCTGGGGCCAATATATATATATATATTAATGCGATTTTATGCATAAATCCAATTTTATACTTGGATATTACCATATTCTCCTTTCTCTTCCAGCTTGACTTCGAGGTCCAGGTTAAGGCTCGCATACCCTCTTATTGGAGCCCCATTTTTCATTTGGATTTGTTATCCTTGTTCGGGATCGCAAGAAAGAGGAAGTATACTGGACACTGCCTATTATGCGCACATATAGTATTACTGAAGGGATGCATAAGTATTCTTTCATTTCTGTTTAGGAGGCAAAGTCTCCAAAGACATGCAAGTGTAGTAGGTGTAAGTTTTGTTTTTTGTTTGTTTTAGTTACTCCAGAAGTATCATTTACCGCAGTAAGCACTTCATTAACATTTACTAGACTGAGGGAACAAGAAACTGCATGAAGAAGCAATGGTGCTTTAAAATTTAAAGGACCTCTAAAGTCACCCACACCACTTCATCTCAATGAAGTGATCTGGTTGCAGTGGCCCTTTCCTTTTAACTCTGCAATGTAAAACAATGCGGTTTTGTTAAAGGGATACTATAGTGCCAGGAATACAAAGCTGTATTACTGGCATTATCGCCCCCCTCCCTCGTGCCCCCTCCTTATTTACTTACCTGTCCAGCACAGCACCGATGTCCATTGGCGCTGGGTCGACGCTATGCCCAGTGTTCTGCGACGAGCGGTTGCTAATGCACATGTGCGGCAAATGTTTTCCTATGGGGGAAAAAAAATCTGACGCTGGATGTCTTTATGCAGAGTGTGAGGATATCCACGATGCAGGAAGCGCCTCCAGTGGACGTCTTCCAGACATTGCACCCAATGAGCTGAAGTGGTTTGGGTGCCTATATTGTCCCTTTAAGCACATATCTGGTGACGATCTTCCAGACAGCCACTAGAGATGCTTCCTCTACAATGACAGAGTGAGACTCCGTTACTTCACCAAATTTAGATCAGAGGAAATCATTGAATTCAATGCTTTCCTACAAGAAGCATTTGGATGTGCATGCAGCGTTTGCCGTTCTTGCGCACCAGTCCCTAATCTTCTTAGTTTATCTGATTGAGAGCAACAGCTGCCGGGTGACGTTGCAGGAGGCGGAGTGGGTTTATAGTCCTAATGCTATAGTGTTCCTTTAAATTGCACATTCAGAAAAGTTCAGGCACAAGTTAAATAATGAAACATGGCTATTTTACTGCTACAGCAGATCATCACATGCAAATATGCTTATTTATTTATTTTTTCTTACTTCTGCACATATTGAACACATGAAAAATTTGTGAAAGTCCAACCTAGAGCATCCTAAGTACCTGGTAGTGGTTGTTGCATATACTATGCAACAATAAACAAAGAAGACTTTGCTTTTTTTCTTTAAAGGAATTCTCCAGTGGCACTGCAGGATCTTGGAGTGCCCCCTTCCCTTCAGTGACTTACCGGAGTCCAGCGCCTACTCTCCTCCCCCGCTGACGTCAGCCAGCGGGGGAGACCTAATGTGCATTAGACCTCCCCATAGGAAAGCATTATTCAATGCTTTCCTATGGAGATTTCAGCGATGCTGGAGGTGCATTAAGCTGTAGTTCTGGAGACTATAGTGTCCCTTTAAGTATAAAATATATATATATATCTCAATTTCTGATTATCCAGAAAAAAAAAAATATATATATATATATATGTATTAAGGCAATTTGCCTGCATTTGTGGGAGGTGCTGGTTTTCCACCCCTAGCCTACTTAAGGCACTCCCCTTGCCTGGCTCCTTACCGTTCGAGGTCAGCGTTGAATGAGGATCCACTTCCGGGTTCTCTCAGACGCCATCTTGGTTTCAGTATCCAGGAGGTTTCACCACGTTAAGCTGTGTCCAGGAATCCTGTTCAGGCCTTTCCGCCCGTCCAGCTTCTTCTGACTCCGTTCTCCGTCGTAGATCGCGTCCCAGGGACTCCTAAACCGTAAGTCAGACCTTCCTGTCACGCCAGGACTGGTTCCCACGGCGTACGGTACAGCACGGGTCCTCGCTTTACGGCTTTTCCCTGGTTATGACACGAATGTTTCAAGCCATTCGCGGGCTTTTCATTCGTACGGTCATTCGGCTGAACATGTTTTAAATCGTTCAATAGTCATTTCGCATATCCTATTCATGTTATTTAAACGAATGTTCATTCGGTTATTTTTGCCGTTCGGCAAATTTTACATACGCTCACACACGCTTCGGTTCGCATAAATCATACGGTTAAACTATTCATACTTCTGTGTTCCCCTCACATTTTGCTTTCGGCTGTTCTGTGTGTTCACGTATAATCCTTTCATGAATTATATTCACCATTTCATGTGTATATAACATTCGGTTAAAGTATTGCTTGCTTGAATAGATTATTGTTGATTACTTTTAACAAATTGTCAGTATTGTATTACGTCCACAAATCAAGTCCACTTCTCTGTGTATACCATTTGACTCCCACGCTTTCAGGGGTCTGCATTACTTATCCATTTATACGAATGGACTCAGCCATGTTACAAGCCTCAATTCTGGGTTATTAATACAACACATACAAGGATAGGTTCATTTAAGCAATAATTCTCGGGCTGATACGTCTTTGCTATACATATCATATAGATATACATCACTTTACATGTTAAATCATTTTGGGGTATCCCTGCCTTTGGTCTTTCTGCTACATATCATACATAACGCTGTGTTAATTAGGCCATGACCTCATGTCCCTTTCTATAAAACCAGTTACATTTCGGTACAGATCATTGAACTCCCACGCCAGGAGTTTTATAACTATCCATTTCATTTCAATTTACTCAGCCTACATTACAGGCCTCATTTCTCTGTCATGACGATGACACATAAGGCTCACATCCTTTTGCATGCATACTCGGGTTGAATCACACGTACTGATCCAACCAATCATACGTCCCCTACACAGTCATATACATATGTATATAACCTACGTTTCATGTTTTCCTTTACACACCATTATCACGTAACACATAGATTGTTTGTACATAGGCCACGGCCTCCCTCAGATGTCTTATTCAAACATGCAAACATTTCTGAGCCACTCATAGCTATTCCCATGGTATCAACATAATTTTATACATTGCTGCTACAGACTATAAGTCTGGTTCTTTTTACACCCCACACTCATCGTACTACTCTCTTTTACCCATTTTTAGGCTGTCGAGCTTATATAATTGCTCCACACGGTTTATTCCTGTGATTTATCATACTACCAGGTACGTACACCTGCTCATATGGTATTCTACCATACATTTCATTTCATCCCCCTAGTTCAGAGTACTGGCAATAGGGTCACAGGATTCCCAATAGATATTTACCCCATCTTGGCTGTCGCCATTAGTTAGTGGTCCCGCGAGGCCAACACCCCGCCTCAAACGTTTCGGAGGCAAACACCCATCGGGCCACACGTTAGCTAGCCGCCTCGCATGTTGCAAAGAGAGGGCCTCACCTGTCACTCCCTTCCCCTGTTTTCTGTCGTACAGTCACCGAGAGGCCTAAAACTCCTGCCACTACGTCAAGTGGCCTCAATAACCCCTCGCGCCAACGCATAGATAGAGCCTCTCAAGCCGCTTGGCAATTAGTAGGGCCTCACCTGTCACCAAACAAGCATAATACTTTCGCCATCCGGCCTAGCTAGCCTGCCAGTACAATTTGGTGGTTCTATATACTAATTATTGTTTTATTTATAGTATGTCTCAGGAAGGGGTAGAGGATTTCTCCCTGCCTAGCACCCCGGCTAGAGCTGTCACTCCCACACAAGGAGGAGAGCTAGCTAGTCCAGCATCAATTAGATCCTGGACAATCCCGCGCATAACCACGGAATTAAGGAGACGACAAATCCCCTACCCCGCTACAGCAAGGAAGGCAGAACTTTTCAAACTGCTACGCACATCAACCAATAACATGGAAGCCGGGGAAGGATCTAGCCAGTCCAACCCAGGGGACATACATGCCATGTTATCCTCACTCATGGCATCCATGGGCAAGGTCAACTCCAGGCTGGAGAAACTTGAGTCGGTCACCACGGCCCTCACTCTAGCAGGGCCACCCGCGGCTGCGGTACAAACACCAGCCTTGCCATTAGTCGCTCCAGCCAGCCCCCTGGATGACCAGGAAGTTAGCCCGGCCCACATGATACCTGAGCATATCAAAAGGGATATCCTGGAAGGTAAAGACGTCAATCTGGCTTCCCTGTTGATTGCCTCCCAGGACATTGTGGAACATAAGACGTATGCTTATGATGATGTTTCTGTTATTGTCAGATCTAGGGATGCCCGCCTGAACAGGAAACTGACTATCCCTGAATTTGTACTAGCGTTTGGTATTTACAGGGATGTCGTCTGTGCGGTTTATCCCAACAGAAGAGAGGAGTTCGATCTCTATATGCACAAGCTGGTAGACCTGGGCAACAAATATGGTGGTTCAGCATTCTATGACTACCATAGGTCTTTTTCTGCAAAAGTGGCTGGAGCCTTCTCCCAGTACGGTACACGGTCCAACTGGGGAAGGATTGATACCGTCTTATTCTGCAGACACTTTGCAGGTCTAAGAACACCAGCTTGTGCATACTGCTCCTCCACAGCCCATACTACTAATTTTTGTCCCAACACGGCAGACGGACATGCCTCCACACAAGGAACTAGTTCCTCTGGGGATCCAGGGAAACTATCCAAAGACAAATTGGGACGCCCAATCAAGTTTCTGGGCAAGTCCCAGATATGTAATAATTTCAATGTTGGGTCTTGTAATTACAGTGGATGTAGACTATTGCATGTCTGTTCAAAATGTTTTAGGGCACATGCTAAGACCATGTGTCCAAATAAAATGTATTCTAAGCCTTACCTTACGTCCATTAATATGCCAGTATTCACAGCATTGATGTCTCAGCACCCATCTAGACACCTGGTAGATTTTCTTATTTCTGGTTTAACAGAAGGCTTCCACACAGGTATCCTACACATACCAGCTGGCACTCTGGAATGCCCAAACCTACAATCCGCCCAACACAACCCCACAGTGGTTGACACCCTCATAAACCAAGAAGTGGAGGAGGGCTTTGTATTGGGGCCTTTTAGAACTCCCCCATTCACAGAATGGCGCACCAACCCTATTGGTATTGTCACAGGGAAATCTTCCCAAAAACAGAGACTCATCATTGACTTATCGGCTCCCCACTCATCGGCCAACCCCAGTCTTAATTCCCTCATACCCTCTGAGGAATTCTCTCTGCAATACACCACCATAGATCACGCCATTACAGCCATCATACAAGCAGGGGTGGGAGCCTGGCTCAGTAAGACCGACATTACTAACGCCTTCAAATTACTCCCTATCCACCCCACACTGTGGCACCTGCATGGCATCAAGTGGTCCGAGAACTACTATTTTTTCTCCCGGTTAACTTTTGGGTCCAAAAGTAGCCCAGCTATTTTCGACACATTTGCCGAAGCACTATGCTGGTTACTATTGAACATAGCCGGATGCCCTACAGTATTACATTACTTGGACGATTTCCTACTGGTCGAGGAGAATACTGCACCTCCCACTAGCCTCAAAGCTACCACTAAGCTGTTTGAGCAACTAGGTGTACCCATCTCCCCAAAGAAAACAGAAGGGCCAGACACGGTTATCACTTTTCTGGGTATCCAGTTAGACTCTGCCACAATGCAAGCAAGCCTACCTTACGAGAAGATAGACAATATTCTCACTTACATAAACAACTACCTACAGCTCGGCACTTGCAACCGCAAAGAACTACAGTCCCTGCTGGGGTCACTAAATTTTGCAATACCTCAAGGCCGCTCCTTTATTTCACGACTATTGCATCTTTTTCCACTTTTTCTACATGACACGCACAGGTTGTCCTTAGATGCCCAAGCTACGGCAGATCTAAACATGTGGAAGAGGTTTTAACCACTTGGAATGGTAAAAGTATGTTCCTCCCTCAATTGACTGAATCATCTCCTACCATTTGGTCAGATGCGGCATCTACCACTGGTTTTGCAGCAATTTTTGGGAACGAATGGCTTTGGGGCAGCTGGCCTTCAGCAGTTCTGGATTTGGAAGGTTTTTCCACTACCTCAGCTCTTTTTGAGATCTACCCCATAGTGGCGGCTGCCGTAGCGTGGGGTCATTTATGGGCTAATACGCCAGTGCGTTGTTACTCAGACAACCAGGCGACCTGTCACATCATCAACAAAGGTCGTTCCAAATCTCTTACGATTATGAGATTTCTGAGGAAACTCACTTGGTTGGCAGCTTGTCATAATTTCTTCCTATGTTGTTTCCATGTGCCAGGTGTATACAACACAGCTGCTGACAGTTTGTCTCGCTTTAAATTTCAGGAGTTTCATCAAGCACTCCCGTCAGCAGCACCCACAGCCACCATCACTCCAACATTTCAACAACTCATACTGGACTAGACGTCATCATGCAGCATAGCAGGACATTGTCTCAGTTGGCACTTTCACACAATACAAACAAAACATACAACAGGGCTTTCACACTATTCAAACGATTCCTTCTGGAACATAACATCATACAACCGTTTGTTATGACATCTTTTTTGGGGTTTGCTTCCTTTTGCCACCTTAAACTCAAATTGTCATATAACACCATCAAACTCTATCTCACTGGCATTCAACACCACATGCTCATCTTACACCCAAATAACAACAGTTTCATGGCCTCTCACCAAATTAAGACCATACTCAGAGGTATTCAAAAATCAGAACCCACACATTTGGCCCAGAGGCTACCCATAGATAACCATATCTTCAAAGCTTTATCTAACCTACTCGACCTGAAACCATTTGACACTAATACGAATTCTATCATCAAAACAGCAATATACATCGCTTTCTATGGATTTCTACGACCCAGAGAATTCACTACGACCTCCACGACCCAAACCACTCCATTCCTCCTCTATTCCCACTTGACAAAACATATGGATCATTACATCCTGTCTTTACCTCACTCCAAAACCAGCCAGCACATACCTGTAAACATTCCGTACTACCCCACGCACAACAGATGGTGTCCCGTAAAAGTTCTTGATGCCTACATACAGCACCATCACTTACTGCCCTCGCAACCGTTATTACAACTACAAGGTGCAGTACTCACCACTACAACCTTCATGACCTACGTCAGGTCCTTGCTCACACAACTGGGCCTCAACGCAAACAATTACTCAGGACACTCCTTTCGTATAGGAGCCGCGTCCACAGCCTCCAGTTTCAACGTCCCAACTCATGTTATCAAAACACTGGGGCGCTGGAAGTCATCCGCTTACTCACGGTACATACCGAACCCAGTACAAGAGTTAAGAGATGCTTTCATAAACATGTCTGGTTGATAAATGTATATGTATTGGTTGTCTGTTAATAAACTGGATTACTTAATTTTTGCCCTCTTCTTTCTCAGGCCTACCTCATCGTCGGTTTCGGCACACCACAACCGACTTGCTCCTTTTATCATCCTACGCTTATTCATGGTATTTCACACTGTACTATCTTAAGCACCTAACACAAGTATTAAGGCAATTTGCCTGCATTTGTGGGAGGTGCTGGTTTTCTACCCCTAGCCTACTTAAGGCACTCCCCTTGCCTGGCTCCTTACCGTTCGAGGTCAGCGTTGAATGACCCTCCCACCACACCACTTTTAACATTTATTTTCCTTTCTATTTCTTTTCCTGGGTGGGCCCTCTTCTTTCTCAGGCCTACCTCATCGTCGGTTTCGGCACACCACAACCGACTTGCTCCTTTATCATCCTACGCTTATTCATGGTATTTCACACTGCACTATCTTAAGCACCTAACACAAAAATATATATATATATATATATATATATATATATATATATTTATTTTATTTATTTTTACTTAAACCTACTTCACTGTTACTTATCGTAAGGCTAATGACTGCAATCATCTTGTAATAAATAATTAGATACACGAATTGTATATGTAAAAGTTTATGATTCCCCCCTCCCCCCCTATTTTTTATGTCTTTGTGTGCTAATATAAAAGCTACTTATATTAGAGGAACACACCAGCATCATAAATAAAATTATTTATAACACTAGATTTTTGGGGAATCCCCTGGGTCCCCTTTGCGTCCCTCCTGATAGATACATTCAGACAACAACTTACCCATGAGCTGGGTCCAGGGCAATGGCCCTTGGTTGATCGAGATCTTGCCAGAAGAGGACATTTCTGTAGGTTCCATTCAGGTTGGCCACTTCTATCCTGTTAGTTTCAGAGTCTGTCCAATACAACTTTTTGCCAATCCAATCGCATGCCAGCCCATCTGGAGACACCAACCCAGAAATAACAACATTCTGCAAGTTCCCACTCTGATTATAAACAGTTTCTTTAATAGATTCTTCACTGATATCCGTCCAGTAAATAATGCCCTGTGAGTAGTGGAAATCGACTGCAGCAGCATCTTCTAAACCGCTTACCACGACAGACTCCAACTTAGACCCTCCTGCGTCGACCATCCGGACATCCCGCCGGTTAGCAAAGAGCAATAGTGGAGATCCTGAGGATAAAAATTAATAAATACATTAGTAATATATAATGAAAATCACATCAACATATAATTTTTGGAATTTCTTGATAATAAATACCACAAACTATAACATTCCAAATCACATCCTCCCCTTCTCTTCTGTAATACGGTGAAGCATTGTCTAAATATGTCCCCAAAAATATTATCTATGCTGCTATGTCACAAAAACCACATATTAGGACAGAAGATACGTCTTTAGTCTACGCACTTGCGATCTAAAAGCATGGGGCTTATTCTTATTCCTGCAGAGGACAGCAGTGTCTGTCCAAGGCTTCTTAGACCCTTCCACTTTATTGTGGTGTGCCATCTCTCCTGGCTGGCTGTGCTATGCAAAATAACTGTAGGCAGTAACACATTTTATTAATATGACTGAAAATGTCATGCTGTACCTCTGACCTCTGCAGGACATTGATGTGTATGTTTGCTGTTTAAGTATTATGATAATAATTTGTATTTCTTTTATAACCATTTTCAGTCCTCAAGCACAAATGAGCGAAGGGGAATCAATTAGTTTCTCTGTCACTCTGACGGATCCACCTGTGCTTGTGAAAGAATAATTTCATAAATTGCCTTGGGGAGGGGGGGGGGGATGAGTCACTAAAGAATTCAGTTTGTTGGATGATATAACTGGCCTGAGAAATCAGTAATGCTAGTCTTAAAGGAACAGGAAACACCAGCGTTTTCCCGAGAATAAGTAAATCAAGCTGGGATTTTACTCACTGTGTAGGGATTTTGATAATAGGGCTGTTTCAAATACAAACAATACCAGAACACAGACTGCACTGCTAGCTGGGACCCTGTGTACCTGGGGAAAGTGATTTAAATGGACATGATAGGCACCCAGTACACTTCATCCCAATGAAGTGGTCAGGCCGCCTGGAGGGCAGCTGAAAACATTGCCATTCTGCAGAATGACAATGTTTACATTGTATGGCTTAAGTGTCTCTAGTGGCTGTCACTCAGGCAGCAACTACAGGGGCTTCCCCAGATGGTCCTCAAGTCACTAGTCTCCCAATGCTTTCTTATGGGAAATCTCGATAATCTCAGCCAAAGAGGCAGGACAAGTCATGGAGACCTGTGAGGGAGAAAGGTTAAGCAGAACTACTTTTTTTTCCTCTCAGGTGAGGACCGTTTTTCTAAACACTTGTACTCCTAAATGTATAGTGTTCCTTTAAGCATACGAATATATTGGTGCAGGCACCGAACACAGTCTTTATGAGAGAGTGAGATTGTGAGAGAGAGAGAGAGAGTGAGAGAGAGTGTTGTGCTAAGAGGATAAATCACAACGGAAACTACTGGAATGCCTTTCTACATTTAAAACTTTGCACACAAAATGCACCTACTTTTCTTTGGTAAATATCCTCCTTAGAGTTATCAATTCTAGCGACATTTTCCAAGATTTAAAGACTAAACACTACAGATGTTGTTGGAACCCACTTCTCATTCCAAATATCCAAAACCAGTCTAAAAGCGCAGATTTATTAGAAATGTTGGTAAATGACTGCATATATAGTGTAAATCAGTGGGTGAGGTTAATGTAACTAGAATGACAGCTATATGTGACTGTATGTATGGGGGTATGTAACAGGCTGGAAGTATGCCTTCATGGATACACACCAGTCACTGTTATTGGGATTACCAAAAATAATTGAGAAAATGCACTGCAGATAGCTTCCTGACCCAAGCTGCCACCAGTTTATTGGCATTCACCAGAATAATCCGTACAAAGATATATTTTAAAGGAACACTATAGGGTCAGGAACTCAATCATGTTTTCCAGACCCTATAGTGTTAATACCACCATTTAGGTGGCTTGCCCCCCCTTAGCCCCCTTAAACGGTAAGAAAACTAACCTTATTTCCAGCACCACGTGGGTCCGCCACCTCTGGCCACACCCTCGACCTGCAGTGCTGACATCAGAATTAATAGATTTCGGCAAATCCAATGCTTTCCCATAGGGAAAGCTTTGGATTGGCTGAAATCCGCAAGGAGGCGGGATGAGGTGGGTGCGGCCAAACAATGGGTGAGCCAAACTGCACCTCCTCATAGATATATGTTGAATCAATGCATCTCTATGAGAAAGAGTGTCTCCATGCAGAGGATGGAGACACTGAATGGCAGTGCTACACTGTTCAGCACTGCACCAGGAAGCACTTCCAGTGACCATCTGAGGAGTGGCCACTTGAGGTGTCCTTAGGGGGCAATGTAAACACTGCCCTTTCTTTGAAAAGGCAATGTTTACATGAAAATGCCTGAAGGAGATGATTATACTCACCAGAAAAAAAATATATTAAGCTGTAGTTGCTCTGGAGACTATAGTGTCCCTTTAATATAACTGGCCATTTTCTATCTCGAGAAAGAAGTAAGAAGAAGCAGACAGACCACCACTTTTCTAGTGTAACTTTATTGCGTGTCTAGTCACAGTGAAAAGGGCATTGACTTGTATTATTATCACAGTATAATCTAAAAAAAGCAGCTTGCTGTCCGAGTAAGCAAGCATTGCAGTACAAACAGTGAGGTGTCAGAATAATCTGGTTCTATAAACCTTGTGCAAATGAAATTTAGCAAAGGAAGCACAAGTACTACTTCCCCTGGTTAAAGCAAACATTCAGACTGTGCCTGGATTTAGCTCTTTAATGGATTTATTGTGTATTCAATGCAGCGTACTGCGCGATTGGTCATTTAACAGTGGAAAAAAATTGCCATGTAAAGTTCAACTAGGGATTAAATTATATCGAACACATATCTGTTAAATAAAACATTACCTCTGGTGAAATTAAGATGGAAAAGATTTCCACCAATGAATGATTTTGGAAGGATACTTTACTGTGATGACACGTGTGAAGTTCTCAAATTTCATGTTTTAAGCCTATTTACTAATTAGGAACCCAATAACTGAATAATTAGAACACACCTATATTCTACTGCTTTAACAATTTTGTCAGAAAGTAGGAGACGGAAAAATTGAGTTTTTATTATGGCAGAAAAGAAAAATGTCTGTTCCTTCTACTAATATAGCAAACTCGAGAAGATCCTATATAAGTGTGTCGTTTATTACGTACTCCGATCTTGAGATACTTGAATTCCAGATTCCCGAGTTACTAGCAGAGGAAGCAAAATTTTATTTCAGCTTGACATAAAGCATTCAAAGAATTTCCTATAGAAAACAGTTTGTGTTTTAGAGTGGCTCAGTATTTAAAGGGACACTATAGTTACCATAACAACTACAACTTAAGGTAGTTGTTCTGGTGAGTATAGTCAGTCCCTGTAGGCTTTTTGCTGTAAGCACTGCCTTTTCAGACATTAGGCAGTGTTTACATTGCTGCCTAAGGACACCTACAGTGGCTGTCACTCAGACAGCCAGTAAAGGTATCTCCTGGGTGAGTGCTGTATGTTGGCGCTGAACTTTCCCCATAGAGATCCATGGAGCCACCGTGAAAATTTATTTTATTCATTAATTTAAATATTTTAAAATTATATATTTAGCTAGCTGGGGTGGGTGGAAGGTAGTGGGGAATTGGGTGTTAGGCTAGCTAGGGGTTAACAAAGTTTTAAAAGGTTAAAAAATACATTTTAAAAAATGCTCATTACCACTACACCTGGAACATACTAGCGAAAAAATGATCCCACGCTAAGGTTCAAACTATATCTCTTGTGAATTACCCCGGGGTATGTTCATTAATAAATAGTATGTGTTTGTGGGGTGGTTTAAAGGACCACTATAGTGCCAGGAAAACATACTCATACTCTCCTCCTCCATTCCCAGTCATCTGCTGCATGTGCATGCACGGCAGGAGCCGCGCGCGCATTCAGCCAGTCCACAGGAAAGCATTCTCAATGCTTTCCTATGGATGTTGGCGTCTTCTCACTGTGAAAATCCCAGTGAGAAGCACGGAAGCGCCTCTAGCGGCTGTCAATGAGACAGCCACTAGAGGCTGGATTAACCCATAGGTAAACATAGCAGTTTCTCTGAAACTGCTATGTTTACAGCAGAAAGGGTTAATCCTAGATGGACCTGGCACCCAGACCACTTAATTGAGCTGAAGTGGTCTGGGTGCCTATAGTGGTCCTTTCAATAACCAACCAGCTAAACTACTCCAAAATGAAACATTGACAAAGTGTAAAACTTCAAAGTTAGAAAAAAACGGAATGGCTGCGTCTTAAATGTGCCCCTTCAACATCCACATATACCTGGCAAAGATACATACGGGGGTATTGTTGTACTCAGACAACATAGCTGAGCAACATATGAAGTATTAAACAGTTGTAGCACGCATAAGGTTTGCAAAATACACTGTGCAAATTCACTGTGTGTGTCAAAAAGGCAGAAAAAATGCTTATTACCACTACACTTGGTACAAGCTATCGGAAAAATGATCCTACGCTAAGGTTCAGAATATGCCTTTTGAAATACCCTGGGATGTCTTCTTTAAGAAATGTAATATTAAGAAGCAAAGATATGTGAGCGCTCCAAATGATAAATCATGACCACTTAAACACTGTACTCCAAAACAGCAGCTGCTGAACACAACTAATATAGATCAGATTAATAACTCTGGCATAGTCTAGATCTAGATTAATGTGTATATATAAAAGTGTATTTATTAAACATCTTAAAAACAAATTAAATTGATTCAATATGGATACAGTAATGATAAATGTATCATAGCAACAATATGTCCAGATCAAAGTCCAGAAACACACAGTGTGGGGCCCCCAACACTGATACAAAATGTGTACCAATTGGAACTGGAAAATGTGCACATAAAAATTGAAACTATGGAAGAAATATATAAAATAAACGATACCCAGACACATACACTATCCCTGGAGGAGGGAGCGCTTAAACCCGCCAAACAACCGGGTCTGGGTTAAGGGTGTTGCTGTGAACAATCTCCCCGAGTTAAAGAACTCTGGGGGTAAGCCAAAGCAACTTACCATGTCCGCCCGACCTTCGTGTGAGGTTAGAGGAGCACGCCAATTCCCTACCACGAGATAGGATGTGTAAGCAGATCCGATCACAGCATCTGCCGAAAATCACTCCCGGACCGTAGATGAAACCGGGCTGGAAATACAGGGAAGACGGAAAGCTACGTCTAAATAGCCTGTGATGTCTACTTTATATAAAGATATACTTGTGTGGAAATTTTGTTTTCTGTGATGGCTACTAAACCTACAAGACAAACATACCAACTTCTAAAATTTCACATTGAAATTTTATTTTAGTACTTTTATTTTGTGACCTTTAACTTTCAAAATAAGCTGAAATCCTATACATATTAAGTACTCTATAAATCAAGACACATAAATGAATTTATTTTGAATTACTTTTTCTAAGCTGGACATATTATGCACACGCTATTATTGCCAGAACTGTGAAAATAATGTGGGTTTTTTTTTGTTGTTTTTTTTTTTTTATATTAATGAGAATTTACCTATGTATATGTCACATCAAATTAAAGCTCTTTTTGCCCTCTAAAAATGGTATATAATATGTGTTGGTGCAATAAATGACAAAGATGCAAAAAATTCAAAAATTGCGTATATCCATAAGGGTACGTCCAGTTTTTGAAACCGAGTCCTTAAGGGGTTAATTAAAAACCAAATCGCTTGAAACATTAACAGTGAAGTATATATTACTGGATATTAATGTCGATGTGAAGTTCTGGACACCTCACAAACCTCAAGACAAAAGGAGTGTGGCTTCTACTAATGCTGGGAAGGCTGATAGTACATGTCTAGGTCGTGCCCTAAGAGTGATGGATCCTACCCTGCACAGTGCCAATTACAACATGCGATGCAATTATATCTCACAGTGCAACATCTCAAATTCCCAAACTCTGAATCACTGCAACTTCAGTAACAGACAAATATTATTTGATCTGGTATGCATTAGGTTACAGTGTCCATACCAGAAACTGTGCAGTGTTCCTTCTTCTACAGAAACAGTACAGTGTTCTTCTCAATCAGCCAAAGTCTACCATCTAAACATCTAACACCAGCATAGCATATATGAACAATGCAAGTGTAAATGTAAAAAAAAAAAAATACTTCTACAGATGTTCTTTCATCTGGCTGCATGCAACATCACCTGCTCAGCAAACAACCAACAGTTTGTGTTCTGGCTTCACTCACTTTTCCACTAGTGAGAGATATTCATTTTCAGGCTAAAAAAGACTAATCATATAAAACTTTCTGGGGGAAATAAATACTAGCATAACTTTTATTTGACACACGGGATACATAGCTAGCATATAAAAAGGTCATATGCAGAAATGTTGTGCATTTTATATTGCAAATGTTTTACAGAGGGTCTGAAAGGTTATAAAATAATTTTTAAAAAAATGCTATTTTTCTCACATACAGTAGGTGAAAAAAATTGGTTATTTCTATTGGCTATTTTGTCACCTACAGTATGTCAGAAAAAAAGCATTTTTTTAATTTTATAACAACATTACGGACACCATATACTGTCTAAAACTTCATTTTCCAAATACTTTTTGCTTATAGGTATTTGTAAGGACGCGGATGGCAATATTTGCAGTACAGCTTACTAAAAGTGGCAGCAGAATGTAAAACATGTCTGCATTTGAGTACAATACCCACATACAGAAATACATCTAAATCATATATTTCTAAAATAAAAGGTATTTAAAACCTAAATATCAATCTTTATCAATCTCTGCACTGCCAACGTAATGCCAACAGTGAAAAGGCAGAGTCCAGCAGCTGACTGTTTAGCAGACATGCCCCCACCTCAGCATGGTGGGTGGGGGCATACTGGAGGTGTTAATCCGCCTTTATACCAATGCTGGGTCACATTGACCCCGTAGGCATTTTTCAAACTATGTGCCGACTTGTTGCTAGTGCTGCCAGGGTTCAAATAGTAAAATAAATAAATGTGCCATTATGTGCCAGATGAATGGAATATAGGTATTGGTTTTGATATTCAAACTGATATTTATCAGTTCCTGATAAACCTTTAATGGTGGTGATTTTATAGATCCGAACTGATAAATAGATTATCGGCAGCAGATAACCATCCTATGTAAGTTACATTTCATCATTACCAACCCAACGCAGGTTGGCAATATAAGGCGCAAAATTCTGGAGTCGTAAAGGCAATGACTCGTTATCCTGTGATCACTACAATGATTTGTAGTAATTATGACGCTTACAGATAAATGATTATGTAACGTTTCCAACTACTAGTTTCAGTAATTTTAACCAGTTGTTTTTCTATCTCTTGTTGAAAAGCCATCCAAGAAAGCACATTTTTAATAATGTGTTAAAGTAGTAAAGACAGAACTGCACCTTTAAACATAAATAGCTGTGATCAAAAGCCATTGGCAGAATGTACACTATCCAGAATGCCAAGAAAACAAAAAAAATGATCAAAGCAAGCATATGTACATAAGCAAGGTAGCTGCCAATCAGATTTTACTACACGACCCAAACATCTGGATCCATCAAGCATGGAAGCAAATAAAGGGAAAAGTATTGCGCTGAAATAACAGATTATTTAGAGTTCAAATACAAAAATATATCATGTAGTATCCCTTTATGTAGTTCCAGAAACAAAACAAAAACAAAAAAAAAGTTTTTTCCTTTAAATAAAAAGGTGTCAGTATTGTGGGAGCCACCCTGAATATTTCAAGTGGTGAGCAAAATATACACGAGCGTTCAGCATTCTGATCTTCATTGTTCTTTCACTTCCTACAAGCGCAGGTGGGTGACCAGACTTCCGTGTAAGACACGCAAAGTGGAGACAGCACATTAAACCTGAACAAATCCGTCTCAAGTATTCTGACGGGAAAATGCCTTCAACATTGCAGAACAAAGGCTGGCCTTGAAATAGGAGCTCTCCTTAGATAGAATGCTAAAAGGTATAGGTTTATATATCAGAAAAAAATCCACAAAAAAAGAAAAAAAAGAAATAGCTACTTTAAAGTGCACCTGTCATGCCTAACATGCCTAGGTGTCATTTGAACCCGTTCAAGACAAGGTCCATCTTGGAACATGATCTGTCATGAATGGGTTATTCATGGCTAACGTATCTGCATATACAAAATATGTTATAATGTACTTTTAGTCACACCTCTGTTGATGGGAGTTTGCCTGTACTCTACGATTCTCAATAAAAGTTAAGTATTAGGATTCATACAAACAGTGGTCATTGAAGGAGTGTGTCTCTACGAATGTCAACCCTGTATATTATCCAAACACAATAAAGAACTCGGCACAAATTAGTTAAAGGTCCACTGCAGGTTCATTGAATAAATGTGAACGTTTGAAGCTAAAATGTTGTTTACATTTATTCAGTAACCCTGCCTTGGACCTTTCCCCAATTTGAGCCCAGTCATATATCCTGTTGGACTTGCACAAGTAATCTTCCTTAGTTGAGAGGCACTTTTGTGGTTGTCTGGGCATGTGCCTTCTCATTTCTTTTGTTAATATTTTAAGCCCTATGTAACATGGCATATTCAGGTCCTTATTACCCCCATGGTCTGACTAGTTGGAAACATGTCTCTAATACATATTTCAGGGTTTAGAAAGCAGCAGCAGCAGCAAAGAGTCAAGAACCTTACAAGGAAAATGGGTGGGTGTGGGCCATGGGAAGGTGGCAAAAAGAGCTGGGCACCCAATGTTGGTGGAGAAGAAACAGTAGCTGGATATAGAAAAAGGGGAAAAAAGATCAGACCTACTAATTTGGTGAAGAATAGGTCAAATGGGACACATGGGACAAATTTTGGAAACAGGAAATGATATAATGAAGATGTCTAAGGCTGATATGGTGGAGAGAAGGAGACTACTAAGGAACTGTTATCAAAAAGGGTGTTATCAAAAACTGTTACCATAAATGGTGGGTTTAGCACTGTAGGGTCAGGAATACAAGTTTGTGTTCCTGACTAAAGTGTTCCTTCAATATTAGATTGCTGCTTAAAATAATAAAGATGCTATATGCAGTTATATAGGGAGACTGACAGTAGGACAAAAGCGCATCTGGTAATAGCAACAGGAAGCTTTAATCCCCAAGCAATTATTAACTTTAGAAATTAACTGTTGTGAAAACAGCAGAATCAGATAGAGGAGTAAGAAAATCATGAAGCACAAAGGAGGTGTGAATGAGTAATACAAAAATAAAGCCAGAGTAAGAAAAAGGAGATCAGGGTGAGAACAAAAAAAAACACTACGTGAGCAAAAGAACTGAGTGATAAAGTGAAAAAAAGGAGAATGGTGGAAGGGATGCACGGGCAAAAGATGGAGTGGGGAGCGAAGGTTATGGATGGAGGGAAAGATTAGGCAGGATAGCAGTGTAGGGAGGAGGAAAAAAAAAAAGTCATTGATATGAGGCTGAAGAATAGATAAATGGAAGAGTAATAAGATGAAAACCCAATATTGGATTGAAAGGTAAGAAAATGTGAAATATTGGGGGAATGGCAGAAGTGAGCCGGTAGGGACAGGGGATAGTTGCAGTATTAATAAAACTGAGAAAATAGACTGCCTGAATGGGGGTGGATGACAGAACAAAGACAAGTCAGAATAAAGGAACAAGATAAGGGAGAACAAAGACAAACACAGGACTAAAGGACACAACCGAAGGTCCAGGGTCATAATATTAGGAGTGAAAAGTGAAGAAGAACTGCTTAGAGGAGAGGGTAAAATGTAAAAAGAATGGTGAAAATAGAGAGGTACAGTTAAAAAAGCAATTAAAGTAAAATATGTGGAATGAAGTTAACATAATAGAGATTAAAATTACATATACAATTAACAAAAAAACAAAAAAAAGTATAAAACAATAGGAAGGCAAATATTTTCTGTACAGCAAATTCTTTATTAAAGGAAAATGCTTTTTAAAATACTTACCGATTCCTGCGCTGAGGTCTTTTGGCGCTGGATCTGTTGTTGCATCCTCCTCCGACATCAGTGTGCGCATTAGGTCTTCCCCATAGGGGACTCAATGTTTTCCTATAAGTTTTTGCAAGACGCTGGAGGTCCTCATCCAAAGTGTGATTATGTCCAGCGTCATTTGACAGTCAAACTCTGTGAAAGGCCAGGAAGCACCCCTCGTGGCTGTCTGGAAGACAGCCACTGGAGGCTTTCTTAACCCTACTTGTTATTCCTTTCCCTTTCATATAAAACAAAAACTTGCTGATGGTTAGTTGCGCATACTGCCTTCTTGATTTACTTCAAGCTCAAGTTGGGGTCACCTGTAATTGAACTAAATGCCTATATATTTGTGATGTTGTCTTTGTGACCATATTGTAACTGTAGTACACTTTCCTTTTTGTATTTCGATTGCCAACTGTAGGTATGCTTCAATAAATAATGATTTTTTTATTTTTTTTTAAAGATCACAAATACTACAACAACAACAAACAAAAACAAAAACTAACAGTGGAGCACAATAGATTAGCGCTATGTGTTTTGTCTTATTAATAAGACGTCCTCCATGGAATCAAAATGCAGGATAAAACAGAACACATACACAAACCTCTGAAGTGGTTTGGGTGACTGTAGTGTCCCTTTTAACCAATCTGTTAATGTACAGTTTGAACAACTATGAAATGCCATTTAGCTACGATCCATGTAATACAAAATCTAACAAAAACATGATGATTGTTAACATGTTTCATGATGCTCAGTTAATCTTGGCCTGGCTGAACATCATGGGACATGTTCACCATCATCTTGTATAATTAACAGTAGACGTTAACAAAATTGAGAATTAGGTTTATTTGTTTCACTGTTAAACAATGCCAAGTAATTTAAAGGTAACTGAAAAATTCTACCATTAATATCCTGTGAACACGTGAACTATGGAGGGCGAGAGGGAGGGCGAGAGGGAGGGGGAGAGGGAGAGGGAGAGGGAGGGGGGGGAGGGGGGAGGGAGAGGGAGAGGGAGGGGGGAGAGGGAGAGGGAGAGGGAGAGAGGGAGAGGGAGGGGAGGGGGGGAGAGGAGAGGGAGAGGAGGGGAGGGAGGGGGGGAGGGGAGGGGGAAGGGAGGGGGGAGAGAGGGAGAGAGAGGAGAGGAGAGGGAGAGGAAGAGGAAGAGGGAGAGGGAGAGGGAGAGGGAGAGGGAGAGGGAGAGGGAGAGGGAGAGCGGACCCTCTATCAAAAAAATAAATTAAAGGACCACTCTAGGCACCCAGACCACTTCAGCTTAATGAAGTGGTCTGGGTGCCTGGTCCCTCTAGGATTAACCCTTTTTTTTTTTATAAGCCTAGCAGTTTCAGAGAAACTGAATCCATCCTCCAAATCCTCTAGTGGCTGTCTTATTGAAGTCTCGGCTCATGTTGGGGGGATTGGAGAACTACATACACCCTGGGGATTGCTATAATCACTATACTCCCCAGTAATTATAAATCACTAGCTCTTGATAAAAGCTGTTCCTGCTACGCTCCCTGGACTAGGAGAGGTCTACCTACTGGAAGCTGGATCCTGGTCTTAGTGGAGGACGACGAGACTCCAACCAAGCTGTGGCGGTTCATGGGGTTTACGGTGGTTATGGTGTTCCATTGCAGTGCTGATGGCACTCGCAAGTACTAGGAAGTAGCAATTGACAGAGGTACCCTGTCGGGGTGCCAGGCGGTCCATCACAATGACCAGTGCAGGAACTATGCAGAACTAGGTAGTAGCTGCATAGGACAGAGGGCAAGTTATGCCTCTCAAAATATCTGCAGTCCATCAGATTGAATGTTCATTCGGTTTTAAGCTCAGAGTTCAATATTTACAACAGACATGTAACCAAATGTACAAGTAAAATTGGTGATGAGATTATAACCCAAATATCTACTTTGGCTATTATATACAGCTCTCAGTGCACCACATCAACATTTTCTTAATAGTACATGACCCAAAACATAATTTATGTGAAAATAGAACTAACAAAAGCTCTGTAGCTTGCCCTTGGTATAGGCCAGGAGTGTGCAATCTATAACATGCGTGCCATGCATGTCACATGGGGTGCCCTTACCTGGCAAGTGAGGCTGCCAACCCAAATGGGCTAAGATGGGGAGATACAGCACTTCTCGGTGAGAAGAATCATTGCCGCTGGTTACACAGTAACGCTCTGCACCTAGGCTACAGCAAAAACCACAGTTAAGAAGACATTTGAACCCATGGAAGGTTCAGACTGAGCACCACTGGACCACCAGGGATTAACAAGGATACATGAGATGTAATAGAAAGGAAACACTAGTGTTAGGAATAGAAAACTGTATTCCTAACATTGAAGTGTCTCACTGCCTCTGTAGACACTATAGTGTGGGAACCTTTGAAATAAAATGGAGTCACAAATATTTAGATAAGGCCAGTTCCCCCCGTTAGAGGAGCAACATACCCATTATAAATGACCGACTATTACCAGCACCATTTGTCCAGCAAAGAGAGGCTGATGGCACTGGGTTTTGGCACAAGAAAAGTGTTCCCATCAAAATAGACTTATGGAAAAACATAATATTTTTAGATTGCATTGGAATTTCAGTGAAATTCTAGCAATTTTGTATTTATTTTTAATACAAAGTAGCTACATTTTAGATTTAGGGTTCCCCATGCAATAAATATAAATGGTGCTTGGTGTGTTCTTTTAAACGTTGGGAATGTTTTCAAAAGAGTTCGCACAATACCACTATTCAATATTGATAGAAATGTAGGACATACTCTTTCAGACATATGATATCTCTCAGAAATTGATTTGGAAAAACGACAACAAAAAACCCACAATGTTCCCTTATATAAATTCTGGTCACTTTTCCTTAGAAAATAAAACCTGTCGAAGATCACACCTAATTGCCAAATTCTAGCTCACTATGAAGAGACTGAAAAATTCAACAGGAAAACACGAAAGAAAGGGGACAACAGAAAAAGAATTCACTATATGATACTTCAACTTCACTCAGTCTAATGCATACCTCTAACTTTATAAACGATCATCCACACACCACAATTACTTGGTTTCTGATCCTATTGTGGCTTTGATATTATACAGACTTCCTTACTTTGACTACAATGTAATCCTTCTCACTCAAGATTTTATGTTTTATAGTTGGCCTGATATTTAATTTGTTTTTATCCTTTAATATCAGATGGATGTTGTATGGATCAGTTGGATGTGTCACCTTTTTCCCCCATAAGGATACATAATATTTTACTGGCATATACTACGGTTTTTGTTTTGCTTTAGTTAAAACACCTACTTAGGTCATAGTCTTTTTTTTTTTTTCCTGTTGCGGTTTGTGTGGAGAGAAAGTTATTTTGCACTCTAATCTAGGCACACTATAGCCCACATCTTAGTCTGGTCTGGAAAATATATATATATTAGGGATTGACCAATATAATTTTTCCAGAGCTGATGCTAGAGGTCGCCTTTCGGGCCAATTGTCAATGGTGCCGATATTCTGTACATTTAAAGTAAAAGGAACACAATTTCTACACAAACCTGCTGACAACAATCAAACGCCTACCACTGTCAGGCAGCCAATGCATGATGGGATCAGTGAAATCCCAGCATGTACACTGGTGTTACCGATAGTGGGACTGTATTTAGAATCCACACTCCTATGACTTTCTGGAAGCCAGCACATGCTGGAATCCCAGAACATACAATGCGGTTACTGATAGGAGTGTGATTGCAGATATTAAATCACACTCCAATCACTCTCTCTGAGCCAGCCCAGTACCTTACAGTTGATTATTTACAATGAAGTCGTAATGTAGCGATTCACTGGCTGGCGGCTGTAGTTTCCAGATGAGGAAGATGGCATGCGGTTACTGGTAGAGGTGAATTACAAGGCCAATACCATTCATCAGAAATATGCCAAATATCAGCTCTGATAATCAGAACCCATAATCGGTCTATCCCTACCACACCAACAAGTCTAGAGCGCAAATTATATATATTATACTATATATATATATATACACACACACACACACACACATACACATATATACATACATACACACACAAAAATCCACGTGTCCCGCACTCACAGTTCCCGGTCTTGTTGTTGCCTTGGTGCAATCCCCGGCTTAAATATGTACGATATCTTGATGGAGAGCACTCAAAGGAATCAAAATGTATTTCAAATAGTGCTTTTTATTTAAGCATCAAATCTTTGGATACAGAGTGTCGATGTTTCGGTCCCACTGGACTTGATAAAGGTCCAGTGGGACCGAAACGTCGACACTCTGTATCCAAAGATTTGATGCTTAAATAAAAAGCACTATTTGAAATACATTTTGAGTCCTTTGAGTGCTCTCCATCAAAAAAATAAAAAATAAATATATATATATATATATATATAAATACATACATACATACACACACACACACACACACACACACAGGATGACTAGATTTTTTTAAATGTATTTCTTCTTGTATAACTTGAGGCATACAGGGATACCCTAAGATACATTATGTGTGTTTTACCATGAATTATTTAACTGCACTTCAATAGTTTTACACTATTTAAAATAAAAAGTTGGCAATCTGAACAATCAAGTTAAGAAGGTAAGACCACCATAATGGATCATGGAATTCATCATCTTATTTTCTAACAGACCCTTTCAGCAAAGTGACGGAATTGATAAAATATCCAGCTTCTTGGATTACCAAAAAGTTTTATGAGTGAGACAGAACCGCCACATTTAGATGCAAAAATGGGGCCCAGCTGTTATTTTTACTTACATGAGATGAAAGACCTGCTTGAATAAATATTTTTGGAGCCCATATTAAGGCCTATCTGATTAATTGCCGGATACATAGCAACTATCCTATAGTCCCATGTCCTCTAAGGATCAGAAGGTGAAAATGATAAAGAGTAAAAGTAAGAATAAGGGGGGGGAGAGAGGGGGGAATAAAGAAATAATTTTAGGTAAGAAAAGCAAGTGGATGGTTTTTGCAAACGGTGAAGTTTCTATTTACTGCGAGGAGTTTTTAATTTAGGCTCACACAGGCCTCTAAGTGAATATAAAGGTTGAGGAGTATGTTGACACTTGATACATATAGTAGTAAAAGCAATAACAAAACGGCAGGAATTGAAATCCTACCAAAAGGAGAATTTAAAGATTATGTTGAATGCATCATGGGTTGGCAAGTTATTAAAGAATAAAAAAATGAATGCACGTTTCTCTAATATGAATTAATAAAATAAGCCGGTACAGTTGTTTAAATATTTTTATGTATGAAATATAAAAATAGTTCCTAAAAAGATTAGCTTGACTCTTGAATGGTGGTTAGGAATGCTTATCTATTATTTTTTTTGGGGGGGGCGGGGGGGAAGACATCTTATCTGTGTCTCTATAGATTAGAGGAAAAAATAAAATAAAAACACACACACACACTTCTAACATTTGAAACAAAAAAGGGAGGAGATTATCAATTAAATAAGAAAAAGGAAACAAGAAAAATACACCAGAGGGTTACAAAAATAATACAAAACAGGGGTAGGCACCTGACCTCCGGTGCAGATGGCGGCTTCTTGTTAAAGCTCCGCACCAACAGGCGACACTTTAGCTATCTACAGCACTAATTGTCAACCTTACTGCAAATAACTTCCCCCAAAGACACCCACATCCCAACAGCATGGGTGGAGGACGAAAATCCAAATAGGGCTGCTCCGTAGCTCCGATATTCCAACCTCGCACAGAGAATGAACCGGCACATGCAGTTGGCCAGACGGAATCAAACTCTGACTCGGAAGGAAGCGAGACGCAACAAATGCCTGACTCGGCTTCTATCACAAAGAAGGAACTGAGGGGCCTCCTGCATGACATTAGAGCAAACATGGCTACAGAATTGACAAATCCCCTTGTCCCCATCAAGGAAAGCCTAAACGACCTAGCCAAACGAACAAAGATATGCGGAGGAACTACTAGACAGCGTTGCTGCAACCACCTCAGCCCACAGCCAAACCTTGCAGGACCTAAAGGTCCGCATTAGCACCCTAGAGGACGCACATGAAGATCTCAATAACAGATCTCGCAGAAACAAAGTTCGGATCAGGGGGCTCCCAGAAATGCTCCACACCACATTAAGAGAGACCTTCTGTGGCCTACTACGAGAGGCCCCACCTGCTGAGCTGCTCTTAGACCACGCACACAGAGCGCTCTGTGCCCAATCTACAACAGCCGCGCAACCTAGGGGTGTCAACGTGCGCTTTCATTATTTCCATGTTAGGGAGGCTATCATGAAAGTGGCCAGAGACACACCGCTGCAAATGGAAGGGCACCAGGTCCAGTTTTACCAGGACTTAGCTCCAAGCACTCTTAGCAAACGGAGGGATCTCCAGCCCCTGACAAGCTCTTGCACAACAAAGATATGCCTGGGGCCATCCTTTCAAATTAATGGTGCGCCGAGACAATTGCACCTACACGCTCCACAATGTAGCGAATGCGCAACCCTTTGCTGAGGAACTTGGCCTTCTCAATTTTTCGACGGAAGCCCTGCAACCAGAGCTACCCAGTGATGTGCACAGCCTATATCAAGCAAACTATAGCCCCCTCCTAAAGCAGGCCTACCTAGACCTCAAAGCATGGGAAAAATTTGGAATCTGGTAGATGGGCCGGGTTGCCTCCATAAAGATGAACCTCCTTCCTCACGTCTTTCAAACCATCTCAATACCATTCCATAAATCGGACTGCAAGGCACTACAAGCAGCAGTGAATAACTTCGTAAGGAATGGCTCCAAACCCAGAATTAGAAGGGATACACTATATGTCCCCAGACATTCCGGAGGCCTTGGCCTCCCTAACCTCTTGCATTTTTCTCCTCTCTTACTCACACCTCATGACAATCAGACAGATCTCAATGACCTTAAACAAAGACATGCCATCTGACCATCATCCCAAGATGCTATGCCTGACCCCCAACAATTAAGGAGGACAACAAACATCCGCTACTCCATATATCGACCAACAAGACTGCACTACCACTCTGACAACCTACACTGTGCCACAAACCCATACTTCCAACAATGGATTAAAACATTCAAACCCAAACTCTACACAACAAAGCAGGTGCCCTTAACCGACAAAACCTAAAAGTGGACACAGAATTGTAAATCCACACGGGGCAAAAGCCTCAAGGTATACACCACAGAACATTGTCAAGGCAGAAGTCCAGAATATTTATACCCTTTAATTACATAGACACAAACTTGAGGTGGAAATGCCACATAGTTAGAGTCTGTACTGAGTCAAACCCAAACGATCTGTCCTACAACCACCTATCCATTACACTGCTTCACTAGCAACAAACATGGCACGAGAAGGTGTACCCCAGCTCCCTTCCCTCATCTTTTCTACCGATGGGAGGCAGAACCGTATAGCCGGCACCACAACCAAATAGGATATCCATTGCACCTTCATGTTCAAAGTAATGGTTTAGCTTTTAATCAATGTCCCCTTTCCTCCTTTTTTCATTCTGTAACCCTACTACGGATGCACCGAAATAAATATATATATAAATAAAAATACGAAACTAAGAATCAATCTTGAATTATTAGACTTGCTTAAAGGTAAACTACACTAATCAGGGACAGATGGCAACCTTAAGTATTGGTCGGGATAGGTTAGTCTACCTTGTTTGTATTTAATGAAAGATTCTATGCTTGCATGACTTTTGCGACCTAAGGCACTTGCATCTTGTCTCTGAACTCAATCCTTATACCTTTAACCACTTTTTGTGCTGACTGAAATTATTTGGAACGTTGGATGTTCTTCAACACTGACAACATGTGACTAAAAACTGGGTCTGGAAGTAGTTGCAGATTGTGAGGCTAGATGGGATGGGATGGGAGAATATATGCATGTCTTTTTTTATATCAATAACCAAGTAAACTATGTGCAAGATACACGTTATGAAATTTGATATGGGTCCAAAATACATTTTATATCACTCATGTTTGCAATATTAAAGTGGCACTATAGGTACCAAAACAACTTTAACTTAAAGGATCACTATAGTGTAAGGAAAACATACTCATTTTCCTGGCACTATATAATCCTAAAGGTCCCCCCCACTCTCAGGGCCCCCCTCTCGCTGGGCTGAAGCGGTTAAAAACCCTTCAGCCACTTACTTTAATCCAGCGCCAGGCTTCCTTGGCGCTGGTGACCTCTCCTCCCCCTCCGACATCAGCTCCCAAGTGGAGCCGAATGCGCATGCTCGGCCAGAGCCGCGCTCGCATTAAAAGCGCCCAATGGAAAGCATTTCTCAATGCTTTCCTATGGACGTTCTGCGTGCTCAATGTGATTTTCGCATTGAGTGTCGGGGAAGCGCCTCTAGTGTCCTTTAACAGTGAGGTTTTAGTTTTTAGATCATGCCCCTGCCGTCTTACTGTTCAATTTTCTGCCGTTCAGATATTAAATCACTTTGTTTATACAGCTATGATCACACTTCCCTCCATGTGACTTTTACAGCCTTCCTCTACACTTCCTGCAAAGGGACATCTAATGTTTAACCCCTTAAGGACCAAACTTCTGGCATAAAAGGGAATCATGACATGTCACACATGTCATGTGTCCTTAAAGGACCACTATACTACCAGGAAAACACACTTTTTCCTGGCACTATAGTGCCCTGAGGGTGCCCCCACCCTCAGGGACTCCCTCCCGCTGGGCTCTGGAGAGAGGAAAGAGGTTAAACTTTCCTTTTTTCCAGCAGCGGGTGGGGAGCTCTCCTCCTCCTCCGATCCTCCTTTTCAGCTGAATGCGCATGCGTGGCAGGAGCTGCGCGCGCATTCAGCCGGTCTCATAGGAAAGCATTCATAATGCTTTCCTATGGACGCTGGTGTCTTCTCACTGTGATTTTCACAGTGAGAAGCACGCAAACCCCTTTAGCGGCTGTTAATGAGACAGCCACTAGAGGCTTTAGAGGCTGAATTAACCCTATTATAAACATAGCAGTTTCTCTGAAACTGGGTTAATCCTAGTGGGACCTGGCACCCAGACCACCTCATTAAGCTGAAGTGGTCTGGGTGCCTAGAGTGGTCCTTTAAGGGGTTAAAGGGACACTATAATCACGAGAACAACTGAAGCTTATTGTTTTTGTTCTGGTGATTATAATCATTCCCTTCAGGCTTTTTGCAGAAAACACTGTTTTTCAGAGAATTTAAATTGGCTTATGCTGGCTCTGCCCCTGATGTGCCTCCTTGATAGTCTCAGCCAATCCAATGCTTTCCTATAGGAAAGCATTGGGATTGGATCAGATCACCACTTCTGATGTCAGCCAAGGAGGCAGATCAGGGGCCGGGGCAGAGGCGGCAGCAGACTGGAATAAAGGTAAGAATTTACTATATTTAGGGGGGCCAAGGGGGCTCAGTGGTGTTTCTAACACTATAAGGGCAGGGATACATGTTTGTGTTCCTGACCCTATAAAGTGTTCCTTTAAACTTCCTTTCTTATACTTTGTTTAATTTATAATTTCTTATTCCCTGCTCTGTTAATAGACTTCTAGACCTTGCAGGAGTCTCATGTGTGTGATTAATTTAATTCAATTTACAGAGCAGGAAATTCAACCAAATAAAAAACTTCTAAAGCTAGCTAACATCTGATCTGATACATCTTTTTCATTCAGTTAGTGTGACAGCCAGGCTAGGTGTGATTTAACTTCTAAATAGCTGAGAATAGATACATTAAAATGACTTAATTACGTTGTTTTGATGCTTATACGGTTCCCTTTAAAGGGAAAAATAACTGCTGGTGCTTAGATAATTTTGGGGAAGCATAATGTTTAAGTTGCTGAGCTAAAACGAATATTAATTAACACTGATCTAAGCATCATGAGATATGACATGATCCCTGGACGAAGCTTGTGGTTTTTGTTGTATAACCGTCTGCTGGAGACTGTATCCTGCAGAGTTCGGACCAGAATTATCCCAGCTGATCGCTGGATTTTCTTTCTGCATTAATGATCAATAAACAACATTTTTGTTAGAACCTCATTTCTTTGCCCTTGAGAGACACTTGTCAACGAGAATATTATTGTTTTTATACTGCTACAATGCGAACACGTGAAAAGTACTTTGTGAATTTGCACATAAATCATTCCAGCACAGCCCTATCACAAACATGTTTACGATCACTTTGTCTACCAACTGCAGTCATCGTACTCTAAGACAGGCACACTGGAAATGCATGCATGTAATCTTTTCTTATCCATTTTAATGTTACCCATACAAGCATAGGTACCGGAATCACATAAAGTCAATGTGGATTACACGTGTTTCGCTACCAAGTGCAGGCGTGTTCTAACTTGCATGGCAAAATGTATTGCCCAAATGCTATTTGGTCTCCTTTAAGACCTTTCTAGCTTCCAAAAGGAGAAACAGGCAAAACCTCTGCACAGGCTGTGTTTATGCAAGAAACTTTAAAGGAAAATGGCATAACCATTGAGAACTCCTAAATCTATAACTTAAAATACTTTATATTGTTCATGTTGTCAAAAAGAAGTTTGTCAGTATATTTTGTCATATCCTGAAAGATGCCCAGCACTATATAGACATATGAAGCAGTAAACCCTCAGACTTAATGACCACAACAGTTCATTATCAGCGATGTGGCATGTAAGGTCAAAATCAATAGGGAAGGCTCCAGATGAAATGGACAGTGGGTTGACATATTGGGGAGGGAGATGGAGAGATTTTAGATACTCTCCATCAAGGCAATTCTGCCTTTAAATTTCTATTTATATTTTATCATACAATAAGTTTTTACCAACATCCAGATAAAGGGGTTAAAACACAGGATGCAGTAAATTAGTTCAATATAATTATAGTTACTTAGGAGGGTGACATTGCACAAAAGGGTAGAGAATGTGAGGTGGGAGAAAGACCTACTTGAAGATGTGTAACAAGACAACAGACAGCTGTGGGAGTAGCAGACAAAAGCTGAATTATAAAACAGGTAGAAAGATGGAATACATACAAAAGAAGAGGGGGAAGGGGTTAAAAAAAATAAATAAAAAAAAACCAACAACAACAGGTGTGAGAACAGTTCTGACGCATACATCATGCTCTCTGGAAAGGCCACATATGATTTATACATGCCACAGGGCCGAATGCAATAGATTTCCACAGATATTCCCATAGCACATTAAAATGCATGGGAATGTTTGCACGATTCACTGAACAGGCAGCTTCAAGTAAATATATCAATCAATATATTTGCTGCCAATTTCTGCAGCACAAACATATAAATTAAATTTTAACACACAGTCACAGTGGGTAGCTTCGGCAACTCATTTGTTTGGCAGGCTAACTTCAATGCAGCCCCTACATATTAATAACCTCACTATGATTCACAGAGCAAACATAAGAACAATAAAGGAAAGAGATAGGGATTTAAAAGCATATTGTACTGCTCAATGTGCTGAGCAAGGATGAAGCTCATCAAATTACTGTTAGCTTCTTAATGGCAAGCAGGAACCAGCCAATCTAGTTTCTCCGGTGCATTAACACACTTTAAAAGCTCAAGCCTCTTTAACTGCTTGCACATAGGAGCCTAATCATAGGTCTTACTTTAATATCGGTGTAGATTTAAATACATCCCAAGCGGGTTTTAACTGTTTTACGGACAGGCTGAAACTTGAAGACAGTTTTGTAGGATACATAAACCAAGAAAAGAAAAAAAATCTTTAAGGGTACCTTCTGTGGAAATTCCACCATTGAACAAAGCTTATTTTTAAGAACATCCCTAGGTTTCGTTAACAATTTTTAATGTGATGCGTTGTTTCAATTCAAAATATCATTTGCTAATTATTTAATAGACTTCGCAAACCAATTCAGTTCTGGGCATTCTTTGCTTTCTCTATGGAGATTGGCAAGTGCAAAGGGCATAGTATATAAGCATTATTGACAGGGAGCCAAGATGGAGGAGAGAGGTACAGCCAAAATTGTGGAATTCTGCGTTTAAAATTGTTCAGTTCTTAGAAAGACATTTGTTAAATATGGGAGATAAACATAATATTAAAATATCCTGGGAAGTGACAGTTCCTGTTAAGAGGAACTTAACATAGTCGAGTCCCATTTTACAGCGTTCCGGAATTTATTTTACATTGTGGTAAACGGCAAGAAAATTTACACATATTGACTGATTTTAGCAAAAAATAAAGCAAAACACGTGGAGCAAAAAACTAAAGATGGCGGAAATATTAGCAAGCAACGTCTATATTAAAATTGTACGTTCTTTCTCAGCTGCATACTACACAGTAACACATTCAGAGTGTGTGTTTGAAGGGAACAAAACCATAATATCTGTTACATTAACAAGTAAATCTATTAAAAGCAACATCTGTGCAAGGTCTGTGTCCCAGAAAGTAAAACAGGATACCACATTGTCTAAAAATACAGCAGGAATCAGCAATGCCACTATGTTTATATGCTTGTTCAACTAAACGCTGACAGCCTTTGTGTGGTAACACGCTGCCCCATCTTAAAATGCTCACAAACCTTCCCTGAGGAATCTTTGTTTCTCATTATAATGTGCGTCACATGCCCAGGCAGCAATGGTATTCATGATTAGATTAGTAAAAAATTTAAAATGGCTACAAAATACTAGGCAAAAAAAATAAATAAAGCAAGAGACCAGTTCATTGTAGACATACTTGAGGAATTACATGCACCAGGGCTTCTCAAACGCACATGAAATGTGCATTTAAAATAAATAAATAATAAATAAAAAAAATATCGACACACAATCATATTACACATTGGCAACAGTCATGGTACAAACAGAAAAATCTTTCCAGGTAATTTTCCAATTGAATTGCACATTGTATGAAAATGTGTCTCTACTTTGTTTAGGGGGTGGAAACTTGTTGATTTTTATTTTTTGAGCAATAGGTTATATTTTAAGACATTAAAACAAGTCTTGGGAATATATATATTAAATACATTTAAAAAGCATTTATTGAGATAGCCTTCCAAAGACTTGTTTTAATTTCTTAAAATATAACCTATTGCTCAAAAAACAAAAATCAACATTTCAGTTTGTCAAATCAAACTGTTCTGATCAAAGTTTGATTTGGCAAACAAACGTCTATTATTATTTTACATATATATACATATTTACATACATATACACATACATACATACACACACACGATAACATTGGTTTAGGCAGGAGTGGAAAACAAATGCTGTTAAGTAAGATTGATTACAAAAATAAAAAAACTTAAAGGAAAACTATGGTCACCACCAGAACAACTACAGCTTAATGTAGTTTTTCTGGTGTTTATAGTCTGTCCCTGCAGGCATTTCAATATAAACACTGCCTTTTCAGAGAAAAGACAGTGTTTACATTACTGCCTAGAAACAACTCTAGGTGCACACACTCAGATGGCCACTAGTGGTGCTTCCTGGAATAATGTGCACCACTGACGTTCAGCTTCTCCACACTCTACATGAAGGCGCTGAACGTTCCTCATAGAGCTCTGCCTTTTCCAATGGGAAAGCATTGGATTGGCTGCAATCATGAAGATTGATGACCTCAGCAAATAAGACGAAGCCAGCCGCAACGAGACCTGTATGGTGCTGGAAATAAGGCTAGTTTAACACCTTTTTACACTGTGTGGGGGGCAGGACACCTAAATGGTGTTTTGTAAACCTATAATGTCAGGAATACATGTTTGTATTCCTGACACCATAGTCTTCCGTTAACTAAAACTCTCCAGACTATGCACACCTATTAGGAGATGCTGATTGACGCAGTGCAGCGTTTTTCCACGCATGCACAACAGCCTCCCAATGCTTTCCTGCTGGAAAGCATTGGATTGGCTGAGATCATTACGTTTGATGATCTTAGCCAAAATGGCAGAGCTGTGTCAGAGCCATCCGCGAAGTACCCCCGTGCCACTGGAATAAAGGCAAGTAAAATCATCTTTCCCTTAGCTGACGTGGGCCTAAACGGTGTAATTACAGCTATAGTGGAAGGAATACATGTTTGTATTCCTGTCACTATAGTGTTCCTTTACATGCCTTGCATTTTGTCAACTGATCAAAAAAATATTAAGCAGAAAAAAAATATCTAAAACTAATCAATATTTGGTGTGGCACCAAAGGATCAAAACTACACAGTCTATCTGTAGTGATTGGTCCTTTTGGATCAGTCTTTGTGCAATAGATTAGAAAGAGAGTTGTTTAAAACACTAGTCCATTGCTAAAAATGCCTGAGGAAATGCAGGATGAAGACTGTATATATAATTTAAGACAAGCTTCCTTTCCTTATATACAGTTGGAGGTTTGTTGATACAAATTAAGAGATGGCTCTATATTGTAGTGTAATGAAAATGGCTAGACTACACAAGTATAAGTAGAAATAAAAACAAAATAGACAAACACCCACAGTACCATAGATTCTGAATATCTATGGGCCAAAAACACACACAAATTTTTTTTTATTTTTTTTTTAAAGTAAGATAGTTCATACATATGTACTGAACTATCCTAAAAATACTATCAGCAAAAGTGTTTGCTTGGCTTTGAAATAATGTCATAGCAAATGTCGTAAGAGTGTCTCTCCTGTACATGTAAATACATCCATGATTAAAGTTGATTTTATATATAATAAAAAAGGCCATTTGCAGATGTGCAACCTGTATAGTTAAGCATCTGGACATTGTGATGGCAAGCCATATATAACCTAGCATACAGCTGTGCATTTAGCACACAAACCACACAAATCAGGACTAGTTACTATTTGTTTATGAACGTCAGTAGAAGGTACAGAACAGCAGAGTAGCTAATGTAAAAATAAAAAGATTGCCAAAACACACATTATAAACAGGTTTTCTTTCATATGCTCATTATTAAAAGTACAAAACTATGTTTTTAATGATCATCTCCCCGTAAGACATGGGTGTGTGAAAAAACAGTTACCAATCAAGAAAGGTATTTTTTCTTGTAAAGAACCTACATTTGATTTTTCCTTATCTTTTAGACAGAATTCATGTTCAACCCTTGTCTGGACTTTTCCCCAGGTACCACATGTGGATAGGATACACGCCTCAGAAATGTAAGCAACATCTTACTAATGCCAACTGGTTGACTTGTTTTTCGTTTAATATCCTACATCAAGAGTCTGTATTTTCTTTCTTATCACACAGCCAACACATCTTGTACTTGTCATTCAGACTTATTTTGAGGAGAACTTCAATATCTTCCCTCACACTCTACGGACGACCTGTTGACGTGTCCTTAGGGGCTGTTGCTTTTGAATGGGGTCTCTCACGATAAGCAATTGCATATTTAGGCCACTACTGCATTGGGAGAACGCATTTCAAAACTGGAGTGACTTCATAAATGACAGACCACCCGTGAAACTTTACAGAAACTTGCTGTTAAATAAGGCAAACTATGTATTCTCAACATCAATATAGTTATCGGTACTAAATGTACAATTTCCTTTTTTGTTTATGATCAGTGCAAAAAAATCTGGCCATATATAATCTGGTCAACTACTTGTTCAGATAGCCTATATAAATGGTGAGCAGACATATGCACTGCCTTTCAGAGACGATAGTCAGCTGTACTATTGGTTGTCATATGGACTGCAATATTCTCCTTAACTATGCAAAAATGGCAAATGGCAACAAGCTATCTTACATTTCTTTATTTGACAATATTTATCCACTTAACTGACACGTAAACTACAGGACTAAGCTGCGCAATTTTAAAAGTCGAGAACTTAAGCTGACACTCTTGTTCAAATGGCAATCTCCACACATGTGCATCAGATCCCAAATGCAATAAATGCAATTGGGCCATCGCGAGCCAGTCATGCCTACTCGATAAGTTGGAAGGATGCAGAAAGGTGAGCAGCACCAAGGGAGCCTCAGCGCTAGAAAAAGGTAAAGCAAACTTTGATTTTATGATATTTTTACAGCACAAGGAGGTGACCTATATAGAACTAGGGGGCAGGGCCACTATAGCGCCAGGAATACAGGTTTGTATTCCTAACGTTATAGTGTTCCTTTAAACTTTGTTACTCGTCTGTCACATTTTACTGAGAGTACAATTTACACATTTATAAGAAAGAAGTCAGTGTTTAGGATGCTAAAACAAATAGCCCTTTCAGTGAGGAGATATCTGGAGGTGCCTGTACACAGAATGAAACAAATGTAAATGCGTGCTCTGCAAAACTATTCCTGTCCTAACCTGCTTCTATACAACAAACTGCTCTTACAAGGTAGCTTCCTCTATAAAGAAATTCACGTCTAAGCTCACCGGAACCAAAACAAAACAGTATTTGAGAAAGAAGCATGGCAACAGGGGATGTATGTGTACATAGGATGGTTGGTTTGCATTTAAATAACCCAACAGTCCCTTCAATAAGAATGTACCGAAACAGGCATATTGGTTACAGCTTAAAGGGACACTACAGTGCCAGGAAAACAAAGCAGTTGGCTATTCATGGAGACCATGGTCTGCACGGAGGGGCTAAACATAGAGATACTGATTGGTGCAGTGCAATGTTTTGCCATGCATGTGCAATAGCTTCCCAATGCTTTCCTATGGAAAAAGGCATTGGATTAGCTACAATCGTCAAGTTTGGCAAAGGAGGAGGAGGGGCGGGGCCAGTCCCAACAAAACCTGCACAGTGCTGCTCGAAATAAGGGGAGTTTAACACCTTTTCAACTGGGGTAAGGGGCAGAACACCGAAGTGTTTTGTTTTTTTAAAGCTATAATGTCACGATAGTCTTCCTTTAACTAAAACTCTCCAGACTGATTTACTTGTAAGGGAGTCTCTAATTTTAATCTCTAGAAAACCTGCATACAAAATGGCTTCATTTTTCATTCAGATGTTAACTTGCTTTAGACGTTTTTATTACCTGCATAATCTATACACCAAAACAACTCTATTAAGCTCAAGTTGTTTTGGTGCCTATAGTGTTCCTTTAACTCAAGTCTATAGATTTTACAGCAAATTTTCTAGTTGATTCATTCTGTCTCAATCCTTGTTGCACAAGGATGGGAGGAGAGGGACCCATTTGAATGGGAAGGATTATTCTGGGAGAATATTTTAAATGTTGGGACCACAGATCACAACATGGAGAAAATAAACTGCATATTGAAAGCACTTTTGAGAGAGGAAAAAAAAAAAAAATGACCCAATGTGACTGTTTATTTTGTGAAAGGTGATTTCCACAGAGATTCAATACATTAAAAAAAAAAAAAATTACACAGTAATTATTGCTAGCATTCAATTATACTATTCAAATCTAAATGTGAGCCTGGAAGGCAAACCTCTGTGCCAGCTACAGGTTACACAATGGAGCTAAAAGGGTGTAAAGATTTTATGATAAAATATACACTCATGGATCCGTGGAGTCATAGCACTACTGGATGCAAAATACAAAAGGACACAAAGGCTCTTTGAACAGAGAGACAGACTGGAAAATGAACACAACAGTAAACATAGGCAGGGTTATTCACTAAAGTGAGAATTCGAAGTGAATTTTAAATTCAAGGTAAAAAAAAAAAAAGAAATCCAAGCTGCAAACATTATCTAAGTCAGCTATACTGTCACTTAGGTTATAAGGTGAATTCATCCTTAAAAAAATAAAATAAAATAAAAAACACAATAGTGTTAGGAATGCAAAACTGTATTACTTACAGTACAGTATCCCTGTCACTCGGCTCCTCTGCCTATGGGGGACATGGCACCCAGACCACTTCATTGAGCTAAAGTAGTCTGGGTACCTATAGTGATCCGTTAAAAAAACGGGGGGAAAAAATAAATGGTTCACCTGGTCAGAAATCTAAGTATTGGGGATAAAACATATGCAAAGCAGTTCCTTAATCAATCAATAGGGAGTACATTTCAAACATCATTTCAAAATAATAACACCAATAACTAACACATTGCAGTCCACACCTCACAGCGAGAGACTTCATCTGTGAGACTGATCTGTGATGCATTTGACTGGACATTAAACTTAAAAGAACTCCGCAGATCAAACTACACGCTAGGCGTCCAAACCATGCAGATTTAAAACAGCAGATGAAATCTTGGGAGGTCTCAATAGCTTGTCTTAGATCCAATAAAACAATTGAGCACAGTACTTTCACAAGCTACAATAATCAATGCTCCTGTTGAGCACACAGAATTGTAGAAGGCCATTTCTTGATCACAGATCAAGAGTAAATGCCAACAGTCAATTCCCAGGTCAACGAATGGCTAAAAATGGGTCATAATATAGTTTGGGCCATTAGAAAACCTCTTAAAATGGTTTATAAAATCGCCTGCATAAAGCAAGCAAATGGAAAATGCCAGTACAGAGAAACGTTAGTCCCTGAGCATTCTGTATTAAATGTGTCCTTCATCACCTTACAGCTTATGCAATGCAGTTAATAATACTGTTCTGACAGATTTGGAGATGAAACCATAGCTGTAAAAAGGGAGAGGATTCTAATTAAAATGCAGCACCTGAAGGGAAATTAAAGTTCTGGGAGGTGTAGAATCCAACCAGAGTAGGGCCCTATAATTCCCAGATTTTACTAATAACATGACGTAAAGTCATGATTTTATTAATGACACAGAGGCAAGTATTATGCTCTTTCTTACTTTATTCCTCAGCAGCAAAGAGAAAATATAACAAAGAGAAAAAAATGCAAAAATATGAATAATATAATAACAGATATAATCAGATCTGCCTAGTAACAGGGCAGCCAATCAGCTTGCAGGAACAGTCCATAAATGCCTTGCTTAGCACTTCCACTTCCTCTTCTTTGCCTTCTGAACCAAAGACCGAACCGAACAATATATATCCCCATCAGGAAAGAACAATCTCCAACGAGTTAGACGTCATCACAACAAAATCAAGCTGTAAAACAGAGAAATAGGAGGTAAAATCCAAACTTAGGATCTGAATGTAATATGTCATAACAAGTGGACTGTATAACCGTACACACCAACTATCGGAATAACACATATGTAATAACGATACACAACACTAAATCTCATGATATCAAGAGAAACCGTGAACACTTACCGTGAGGTAGAAGAACCCCCCCCCCCCGATTGAACCATAAACGTAGATCCAACCCATACCGAACGGGTGGGTGGGTGGGAATAATACTCGCCTCCGTGTCATTAATAAAATCATGACTTTACATCATGTTATTAGTAAAATCTGGGAATTTTATTAAGGACATGGAGGCTCCTATTATGCTAGTTTAAAGCTGAGCCACAACTAACGAGGAAACATGGTCAATCGGGCGAAAATAAAAATCGCAGAACGTAGATTCACTAGACCAATCCGCAGCTTTCAAGATATCATCCAGGCGACATCCCACCGCAGAAGCTTTTGATGCCATGGCGCCTCTGACCGAATGGGCTGAAAATATTGAAGTATCAATCCCTGCAGCAGAGAGAAGATTCTTAACCCAACGAGCTAACGTAGTAGAGGAGATCGGGAGAAACGGTGTCTTAAAGGAAATAAACAATTGAGACATCTCCAATGACCTCAACTGGAGAGTGCGATCCAAGTACACCCGGAGGCAAGCCACCGGACACAAAGCAGGTCGGACAGGACACCTAGGGTAGGTCACCGACTTAGAATCCGTCTTAGTCCTCCTTGAGATGGTAAATGACACTCCCTCTGGGGTGAAGGAGATTGCGTTCCAGTCCAAAGCTCTGACATCCGAAACCCTTTTGCATGAAAGGAGACACAGGAGCATAAGAAAAGCTTGCATCTAAACTTTATCCAAAATTAGGTGCCCTGTACAGAAACAAAGCCTGCCTAAGCCCTACAGTAAAGGAAAAGATTGTACAGCAAATGCTGATGCCAATCATTGATTATGGGGATGTAGTATATGCGTCTGCATCGCAATCCCACATTAATAAACTCAACACATTGTATAACTCGTTCTGCCGATTTGTGCTACAATGTAATTACAGGACCCATCATTGTGACATGCTAAAGGAACTAAACTGGCTGTCGCTGGAATCCAGACGCACCCTTCATCTTTCCAGCCTTGTTTTTAAGAGCTTCTCTGGGAAACTCCCACCCTACCTGAACAAAATGCTTTCCTTAGCTGTTCCCACTTTCTATAAGCTCCGATCCAGTACAAGCACTTTACTTAGTCTACCTCAATACAAAAAGAAAGCGGCCCGATCCTCCTTCTCCTACAGAGCGCCGCAATTGTGGAACGACCTCCCGCACAATTTAAAATCTTCCCTAAGCCTAAAGTCATTTAAGAGATCCCTCTCTACATACCTCAAAACAGAATGCACGTGTCATGGTTGATTATATATTTCCTGCCTGTTCTATGTTAAATTTTGTATATATTGTGTATTAATATTGTTTTTGTATTTTGTTGTACCTAATGTAACAATGCAATGATTTGTGGACCCAGGACATACTTGAAAACGAGAGAAATCTCAATGTATCTTTCCTGGTAAAATATTTTATAAATAAATAAATAAATAAAATAAATAACTAGTTTCCATGACAACTGTTTCAGCGACAGCTCTTCATTAATGCGCCACGATTCCAGAAAGCAAAGCACTACGTTAACATTCCAAAACGATGAATATCTGGATCTCGGAGGTCTAGAATAACGAATACCTTTCAACAACCGACACACGAAGGGATGTTGTCCCACCGGCGACCCGTCAATGCCCCGATGTCCGGCCGAGATGGCTGATCTATAAACATTAATAGTGCGGTAGGCTAGACCAGATGCGAAAAGCATAGTCAGAAAGCTGAGCACCTCCTTCAGAGGGGCAGAAAGTGGATCCAACAGTCTTCCCACACACCAGCCAGACCACACACGCCATGCAGATTTGTAAGCTGTTCTGGTACCCGGTGCCCAGGCACTTTCCAGGAGTCTTGTAGTAGCTTGCGGAACATCCGCGACACACCAGGGTCCCCCAAAATCAGCCAAGCTGTGAGCTGGAGAAGGTCCTGATCCACCAATTCGTGTGAGTTCCCATCCGGATCTAGAAGCACATCCGGTCGCATCGTAATCAACCTTGGGCAATCCATCGCCATCTCCAAGAGCCGCGGGAATCAAGGCTGAGTCTGCCATAGGGGAACTATCATCACTAACGTGCACACCTGTCTGGACAAGTATGCCAGTGTCCGAGAGATCAGGTTGAAAGGGGGAAATGCAAAGTGACAACCTCGAGGCCATATCTGCAAAAACGCATCCACCGCCGTGGCTGCCAGGTCCGGCCTCCAACTGAAGTATTGGGGCAGTTGGGAGTTCAGTCTGGATGCGAACAAATCTAGTTGTAGCGGACCCCATAGCTGATATATCTGTCGAAAGATCGAAGGCAGTAGGTGCCAATCTCCCGCGTCTTTCAAGTGTCGCGAATTCCAATCCGCCCATTCGTTGTCCAAACCCGGAATGTGTTCGGCCGTAACCGAGATTGCACTGCCTAGGCAGAACTGCCAGAAGACCCTTGCCATGTTCGCTAGTTGCTTCGATTTCGTGCCACCCAGGTGATTGATGTACCTGACCGCGGACACATTGTCCATGCGCAGAAGAATACAGCATTTTCCCAGAGTCAGAGACAGACTGCGGATGGCGAATGATCCCGCCAACAGTTCTAGACAGATGATGTGAAGCGTTGACTCGAGTTCGGACCATCTGCCACCTGTGGAGACATTTCCACAGCGCGCGCCCCAACCATGCAGGCTGGCATCCGCTTCTATCACCACATCCGGAGCGGTACCGAAGATTGCTCGACCGTTCCATGCCTCCATATGGTCCAACCACCATAGAAGTTCCTCCTTGGAATCTCTGTCCAGGCTTAATTCGCTTTCGTACGAACTGCCCGAGCGAAGCTGGGACCCATTCAGACGTTGCAGGGCCCGATAATGTAGGGGTCTTGGGAAAATTGCCAACATAGGAGAAACCAAGGGCTGAGTCAAGGCCTGTTGAATAGTATGAGACAGTGACGATGAAACTGTCCCCATGGCAGAGGCCAGGGCCCTCTGCATAGTAGAGTCAATAAGGGCCTGGAACTCTGTGGAAATGTCTCCACAGGTGGCAGATGGTCCGAACTCGAGTCAACGCTTCACATCAACTGTCTAGAACTGCTGGCAGGATCATTCGCCATCCGCAGTCTGTCTCCGACTCTGGGAAATTGCTGTATTCTTCTGCGCATGGACAATGTGTCCGCGGTCAGGTACGTCAATCACCTGGGTGGCACGAAATCGAAGCAACTGGCGAACATGGCAAGGGTCTTCTGGCAGTTCTGCCTAGGCAGTGCAATCTCGGTTACGGCCGAACACATTCCGGGTTTGGACAACGAATGGGCGGATTGGAATTCTTATACAATCAAAAGATATACTGAAACAAAGTAGAGACTACTTTGTCTTAGCATTTTTTCTCCGCTTGACAAAAGGCAAAGTCAAGCCTAGTCAAAGGCTCTGTGTAGGATCCCACAATCTCGCAGGATCCTGCACATAACTCAATGTTGTACTCTTGCGCATGTGTAATATTACAGCGCTGACATTGGCTCCTAGTAGCTGAAGTGAGGGATAGGTTCATGTACAGCGCTACAGAACTTGCTGGCGCTATATAAATAATAAAATAATCATAATAATGTAAGTATAACTCACCTTTACCTTTCCTCTGTGTGTATATGTATATGCTTCATAAATCAAAATGTTACATTGATCTTTTAAGAACCACATTTATAACCCCCCAGAGATCATTATCAGGTCCTTCAATGCCATTACTTTTTTGTGCATTTGCAGCTTTATATAGTGCTGCATTCGTTAAATGAGTGGGTCTTTAAATGCTGGTTTGTTATGACGTATTACTACATTACAGGTATTTAAGAGAAGTGTTCTGCTGTAATAGTTTCCACCTAGCTGTAGTGGAGAAATTCTTTGTTGTGTTGGTGGAGTTTGACAACCGGGTGCAGAGACCCCATTTAAGTGTCCAGTTCTAGAAGCTCGTGTTCCATTTTTATACAATACGTCTTGATAGTATGGCCCTAAGTTACAATCTGAACAACACAAGATGTTAAGGTGACAATTAGCTTGGAAGAAGTTTTAGATTGAGTTGCGTTTTGGGTTGAAAGCATCGAAGATTTAAACTGATTAGCAGACTGTAGATTTCGTTATACCTTATACAGTTCCACAGAATAGGTTGCTGCTTTATGAATAAAGTAATAAAAGACCACCATTAGTCTTACAGAAGGCAGAGAAGTGTTCCAACACCACACTGTCACGCGGTGCAATAAGAGGCTATCGAGAGACAGGAAGGAAAAAATATATAAAGAGATTAAAATAATGAGGAAATGCTTCAGGGGGATAAAAGGCGGCCTTATCTCACATGCGCAAAATAGAAAGAAAATTTAAAAAGACATTACCACACATGATTGCACATACTTTGGAGCTCGAGTTTTATTCCAATCCAACCACTTACAACTGAAATGACCTCTCATACACACAATCAATGGTCTGATAAAATATAAATGGAGATTAATCTGAAAATCTGGACAATATATAAAATAAAAAAAAATAAACACTTTTAATGTCACCCAAAAGTAACACTCCCTCCTGCTCATTGCCATTCAACATACAGCAGCAAGCTGTCCGGTATAAACATGGTCAAGTCTGCCGGCTTTAAATGACAGCTCTGCTAATTACAGGTCTTGTCTGGAAACTGGGTGGCCCAATGTGAAAGAAAACAGACCCCAAGGCAATGTTCAGCAAACACTGGTTTCAGAAGCAAATAGCAAATATTTCAAATACCTCGGGATTCCACTTCTATTTGAGAAGCAAGTTTTTTATTTATTTTTTCTCTCAAAGAATGTGTATGACAAAACTGGATATTCATAGTTAAACTAGGTAATCGTAGGTCTTCAAATGCATAAAACAGTTGGACATACTAATGGAAAATTAAGAGTCTCCGCACATCTTTCAAATCTCTTACTCAGCAGGTGTGAAACGTTTTACATCTAAAAACTGTTGGTGCGTGGTCTTTGGGATTCCAATGAAACGTATGCAGGAATACAAAGCATATCCCATAAACCTCTGGGCCATAAGGATTATGGGAAATGTAGTTAACATTCTTGTAAAGACAAAAATGGCAATCATGAGACAGATAAATGAAGGTAGAGTGCAGCTTTTTCACCTTGCCTAATAGCTCCATTTATATTTTATTTTCATGAATGGAGTTAACTGGGTCCACAACAAAGGCTATTACAAGCAAAGCTAGGAAGCAGTCAGAGGAGTTTTTGAACTGTTGTTACTTGTATTTCGGTGAGAAGAATATCCCTTGTACATTGGCAAATTGCTGCAGTTATAATTAATGGACAGGACAGGCAAGAAGCATTGATTTCTATGATGTCCCTTTAAATTAATTTCTCACATGAGACACAGCAAAATTTCCTACAATACATACAACTGTATATTCCAAGGGTGCGTGCAATTTTTTATTTTTTTTTTGCAAGTACTCTAGGCAATGGACACTGTTTTAGTGTGGGGAGCCACGGGTATGCAGCTCCAAGTCTGATTTATTGCTAGCCTCAAGTGCCCTGCTGTGTGGCCAGCCAGCTCGGAGCAGTGTTTGAAATGTATCACTGAAGAACCAGCACTCTGCCATCATGAGCCTGACCTTCAGTGATGACAAGTACAGTATATATCACTGCAGGTGGAGTACAGAGTCCAGCAGTGGGAGCGCTCCATATAGAATTCCAGAGGGAAAGCAAAGCATGATCCTCACCTCTGCTAATCACTTTTCTTTCACAATGCAACAGACATGAAGAACCTATTGATGGAGTCTTGGAATCCCCACATCCCACAGCTAGAGCTTCGCAGCATAAAAGAACAGCATTAGTTAAGAGAAGGATGGCTCAAAACTCCTCCCACATCTTAAAAAACAATATCCCACTCTTGAACGTTTCGGTGTATAATTATGAGTTTTGTGCATTCATGTTCGTCTTTATATGTTGCGCTGTTTAAATACACATTTTAGAAACAAACAATATGACTGGCATAAACTTGCATGTTTGGTTTAGGGTTTGTTTGTTTTTTTAATATGAGAGTGGCAAATCATAGGAAATGTTTTTAACAAACTAACCAAGCTGGAAAAATATCCAATTCCGATCATTTGTGTCTCGGTTGCCTTAATTTACAACAAAAGTTTTAATTGTCCACAGCTCCTGCTTTAGTGATAACTTGTAGAAAAGCTACACCAGAGGTCTGTTTCCCAAATCTCTCAGAAGGCCCACCCCATATGTACACATGCTTTAGCAGCTAATCAAGTTCGGATTGCAATTTTTGTTTTTGTTTCTTGCCAGGTGTACAGATGTGACAATTCAAAAATGCAGTAAGAGAACTCAAACTAGACTTAGATAGACTGGGGTGCCTTGAGGAGAGATTTTAAAATGGTTTAATTAGCACAGCTTGACAGACATTAAAGCACAGTTGTGCATCAACAAGGCTATTCTCAGCAAGCAATAGCCAGCCGAACCAGATTTACAAGATACAGTGTTAAAGGCGGTCAAGGAAATCTAAAGACAATGAGCGCTTTAAAGATGCAAGACCCCCCCCCCCAAAAAAAACAAAACTATAGTACCATCACAAATTGCAATTTGTAAATTATTTAAAAATTTGCGTTGCAGTAAGTACCCTGCAAAATCTCTCAGTTCAAATAAATCAATCACTGGAACTCTAAGACTGCCCCTCATAGAGGTCAATCAAGTAGCATAAACACTCCGTTCTGGCTACCCGATACAAATTTCAGGCTTCCTAACAGTGTCTATTTAGTCAGGACAGACCAGATTTTGTGGTCCTGTCACACTATCCCAGTTGTGTCCTACATCAAGGACGACTTCTCTTAGCCCAGCCACCCTGTTCCATTTTCATACTTCCCATAGTTGGGATATATGAGATTTCATCTAATCTCGCATGCGCCAAGATGCACACCCAAATAGGATTGAGCTGATAAAGCAAAAAAAATAAATAAAAAAAAGAGGACTGAATGTACGAGGACCATATCTCTGCTGAACAGTGCACAGAACGATGTGTAAACTGTTAGTAGCTGTGGAATGGCTGCTATCAGTGTGCACAGTAGTTCCAATTATTATTACTATTTATATAGCACCAGCTAATTCCATAGCTAATTTTCCTATAAATCTCTACTGGAGAGGAGTTTAGGGGCCAAGAGTATCATCCTGGTTATGCAGAAAGCGCTTAACAAGAGAAAATTAAAAATATTCTCGTTTTTTTGTCTGGCTTTTTAATGAATTATCTACATAATGCATTAAAAGTAGTGGATCATTTTCAGATGATAGTGTTTTTTATACAATTATTTTATAAATAAAACAAATCACTTTTAATTGTACTTTTAATTTTATCTTTATACAGTGATAGGAAAATGGTTAAAAATGTCAAAATGTAGTCATTGACATTTAATACACTTCCAGTTTACAGGTCATCCCTGTAGGTAGGTGCACACGTCACTCACATCTGTGGTAGCCAACTTGGAGTAGGTTGTTGCCGTCTTCATGTAAAGTTTACTGTTCAATCTACAAATACCTCTGCTGGAATTTCACTGAGACAATGCACTTTATGACATTCCTACATCTACCTGAAGGGGACCTTGTCATGTCTTACAGTTGACAGATTCCCTTTAAAGGTCACAAGTGACACAAGTAAATGCAAGGAGGTGCTTTCTTGGCATATGGATGTCACGTGGTAGCCAAGTAACAGCTTTGATATTGAGAAGAGGTCTTACAAAAAATGTCTAAGACTAATGTAGATAAGAAAGCACTATTCCATTTTGTGAATCAGTACAGAAGGTCTATCATGGTCCGCAGTACTTTCTACTCAACTACAGACAAAAATTGATAGATTTATGAATGTGTAGAAATATATACAAACCATGATCCATCATACTGTAGCTCCAAGCAATATAGAAAATTGTATTCTTTTGGCTTGATAATAATAAACTCAAAAAACAATATTACGATCGGCTTAGAGCAGATGTAAACCACAACAGTCCAAGATAACACAAAAGAGTCTAGATTTGGAATGGCCTTTTCCCCACCATTCCATGATTGACAAAGGCATGACTAAACATAACGTATCACACCCAAACTGTTCTCCCACATATAAAACAAGGCCACTGAATAAGGGGGAAAATGCTTGACTACACCTTCATAAATCAAACCAACTATCAACATAAACTACCACTGCCGGCTGAAGGGAAATGGCTCACAAGCAGGTTTTTCAAATCAGGGCTACTGCTTTTTTTCAGGCGCTGGTCAGGATGTACTTCCACCACTGCAGCCTGTCTGCACCCTGACAGGACCATACAGTACCCTCTCAATCCCCGTCTGCAATCCCGTATTTAATATGTCGGCTAATGTCATTAAGGTGAGACCAGTCCCATCTTATGGGGAGCCCTCCTCCCGATCTCCACCACAGGTGGAGAGGTGGCAGAATCCATCATCCTTCAAGTAAATACCATAGCCCTGTCCAACAGCACCATGGGCCTGGGTAAAATCCAACTGGGCAAGAAAATCACATGTCCGGTGGGCAGCTATGATTAAACACTACTTCTAATCCACAGAGCAAGGTGTGAAGATGAAGATCTGACTTATCTGCTGCCATGAACTGTAGCAACATTTATAACATTTTTTTAAATTCCAGTTATCCAATCCCCTACAGCCTTGCAAACGATCTTAGATGGGCATGCAAGGTATTAATTGTCCAACTCACCTAAACAGTGCATTGGGCTTCCTTTTGTTTTCTGTAGTCACCTACTACTGAGAATATCAGAAAATTCCCTGAAAACCACAGAAGGAAATATAATTAAAGTGGCAATCTAAGCACTATCACCATTTTAGCTCTTTAAAGTGGTTATGGAGTCTGGAATCCCCTTGCACACATACATGATTTAGTGTTAAATGTTAAACTGTTTAAAGGAGCTGCAGAGGTTATGGTATGAGAGTGTTTCCACAACTTCTATATATAACCCTGCTATAATGTATGTTTTCCGCAGAATCTTCTGGTGTTTTATAAAAAAATATAACAGCAAGGCTTCCTGTCAGCCCCTTTAAAATTAGGCCCTCTCTAGTCCTGATGACCTACCTCCTAATATTTGGAGGTATGGATGATGCAAGCCCGGAGATCTTGATGAAGGAAGACATGTAGTGAGCAACTATTCGCAATTTGCAAGAATATAAGTAAAAGGAGAAACAAACAAAATTAAAAAAATATGTGAATTAATTTCTACTTTCCTTCATATTCTCAGCTTCTGCAGGATGAAGGCAGTACCTAGGTGTGTTTTCAATGACAGTGCTGAAGAAAATGTATCAATACAACTGATATAAGGATCACCCTCTGCACAGACAATTACTTTACAAAGGCTGTATTTGGGAAGATGCCACAAACATAAACCATCCAGGATTACCATCTGACAAATGCGAAAAGCTAACAAGTTGGAACCAGGTGAAGTTTGTAACAGTCATATTATCTCGAGATCCTTCTCTCTGCTGTAATGTTAGCAATTACAGAGAACGATATCACTTTTGCATGACTGGTTCCCCTCACGGACTCCCAGATAAACTCATCCTGTGTGGTTACAACAATCTCTTTCCTTTCCCATGTTTATTGCCCACCATGCTTGATCATACACTGGTCTCTGGTATGGCACTCTCTGCATATCCATTACTCACCAAGCATCTGCTACATTGTACTGCCTGGAGAGCTTACCTCAAGGAGAAACAGGAGGGAGTAACGGGAAGCGATGCACTTTGTGTGTTATTTTCGTCACACCTGTACCGACCGCCATCTGCATCCATTCCGCAAATAACGAACAGTGCCAGCGGGAACTTACGGTGTGATAGTCACAGCGATTTTGAGGTGTCGGGTGAGAACTGCTAGTTGCCATGGTGAGCATGTTAAAGGTGTTTCCCTTTATCATGCCAAAGACCAACATGTGAACACAGCACATTTTGTCTTTTATCACTTGTTTTGAGGTCATACAAGTATCTTGTTGATTTGGTACTCAAACATGCACGGAGAATGACTTCCCATGCTCTCTCTACTACATGCAGTGACACTCATTCAACAAATATGAGTGCAGTGACCCCACATGACCAATAATGCCCAAGACCTCTTTTGTAAGGGCAAAGAGTAAAAGGCAGATTATCAAAGAGTGTTCTTTTGTGTGAAAAAAAAAAAAAAAAAGCTTAATTAAACCCAGGTGTTACTAGCTAAAGCAAATTTAATTAAACCCATGTGTTTTTATAAGTTGATCTTTTTTTTTAGATTTTTGTACATTTTTTCTTTTTTGTTTAATATCATGGTATTCACTTCTACACAATTAAAAAAAACAAAAACAAAAAAAAAACATTTACACTAAGGGCTTCTTTTTTTTTTAAATAAAAAACAAAAAAAAGAGGAACTGCAATATGCAGTCCAATATAATGCAGCTGAAATAATTGTTCAATTCACATAATTTATTGAGAAAGGTAAGAGTTAGACTCTTAGAGTGAAACATGCCTACTCCGAAGCAGTATTTAAAGGGACACTCCAGGCACCCAGACCACTTTTGCCCATTAGAGTGGTCTGGGTGCCAACTCCCACTACTCTTAACCCTGCAAGTGTAATTATTGCAGTTTTTTTTTTATAAACTGCAATAATTACATTGCAGGGTTAACTCCACCTCTAGTGGATGTCTATTAGACAGCCACTAGAGGGCACTTCCTGGTTTCCAGCACAGGAAACCTGTGCTCCAGCGTCCCTCATTTCCCCATAGGAAAGCATTGAAATGATCAGTCTCGCCCACCGGCCGACGCAATGCAGAGGAGGAGCGGCGGAGGAGGAGGAAGCAGCGACGAGGGACATCGTCACTGCCTCAGGTAAGTTACTGAAGGGGTTTTCACCCCTTCAGCAACCGGGGATTGGGTGGTGGGAGGGAGAGGGGACCTGCAGTGCCAGGAAAACTGATTGTTTTCCTGGCACTAGAGTTTCCCTTTAATAAAGATTTTATTGACATATTATGTGCGTACTGTATTGTGTAAATTTGCTGTGGGGCTTACCTACTAAATTAAGTGATATACACTTACTAACATTGTACAGAGGAACACCAACATAAAAATTACTTATGTAGCATGCACACAAGAGCACCAACATACCCAATGACAATGCAAAAACACGTGAACCCCAATATGCACATTATATTGCAAGCACACACAATACACAGACATATGTACATACGAACAATGGGGGTGGGGTCACTTCTAGTCTGAGGGACCAGCCCTACCCTCATCACATTTTGCTCACTGTTACTGAAGTTTGTCATCATTTTAGAATTTTGTCAGTTGATTCCACAGTTTTTGTAAAATACAACTACATTAAGATGCATTTGTTCTGGTGACTATAGTGTCCCTTTAAGCAGTATAGCAGGAGTAGTACCAGAATGCAGGAAACAATGAATGCAACCCCTAGCAATGTTAAATTATTAAAAAGTAAATTGTGTGAAATTCAAAGTGTACTGAAAGCAAGTTTACAGTTTTGGGCCAAAATAGTCTGTTTGAAAACAGGGCTGAATGAGGGTTCCCTATTAATTTCAGCAGAAAATGAATTTTAACCAGCACAAACTTGTATGCAAAGTTTCCCAAACAAGTGTTACTAATAATACTACCATTTTAGGGTGTTTTAAAACCAGTTTGCATCTTGTCTGGCTTCTAAAATTGTTCTGAACTCTATAAATATTTATAAACCCCGGATCTGGATAATACACTTAGATCACATTACCAGTTCCCAAACAGATGAAGATGCCCTATATTAGCAAGAGCTAGGCATCATCCAATCCCGTTTCGATTTGGAAAACTAAACAAAATAAATTCTGTATTGTTCTATCAGCAAAGAAAGATTTGTTTGCCTTACTTCATGTTCTGCGCTTATTTTGTCACAGGGCTGTCATTTTGTAAGTGCAGCTTACACTGTGGGTCGGTCCTATATATAAACACCACTACCATAAATACAAAAGTGGAAACAGCTGCACGTGTTGTCAAGCCACAGCGATGATCGGAGCATGGTGTTTCACCCACTGCGTAAATTCAGATTTTGTTAAGATGTGCCTGTGTTCATGTCAAAAGACGAACGAGCCAATGTTCATATGGAAGAAATTACAAATAAATAAAATACAGATAATGCAGAGATTCAAAAACTGACTGGATGCACACACTACAAAAGAATAGATCAAGAAACATTTTATGACCTTATGACATCAACCGTGCATTTAAAAAAAAAGTGTTGAGGACACAGGCATGTTTTTTCAAAAATTATTAAAAAGTAACACCAAAAAAAAAAAAAAAAAGCTTTTAACAATTTATTAGATATACCCCCCCCAAAAAACATGCATCTATTTTTCAGCATGTTTTCTTGGGTGTGTGTGTGGGGTGGGGGGGGGAGGGAACAGCTTACAAAAGCTGCAGAACTACTGTCTGCAGCCTTTGCAAGCACTCCTGCTGTCACTCAGCACAGACTTTCAGTGATACTCCAGCCAGAATCTTTCAAATGAGAAGTCTCTACGCTGGAGCCAAAGCCTACATGCACATACAATTATAGCTTTCCTATGCTTTTCAATGAGCTGTAATACAGAAGGGGAGAGGGGGGGGCGAGGCATGAGATAGCTTAGAGTGACTGTCATTTCTATGCTCTGCAAAACTCACGAAAGCAGAAGAAAGCCTCCCAAGCTGCCCCGTTTACATTCAAGTAGATGCTTCCATTCCCAATTATAAATCTGTTCAGGGCTGAATTACTTAATATCTGCGCAAAAATTGAATCTGTCGTCTGTGTGCTGGTAACCGACATGGTCAGCTTTTACCGATTCCCTCCATGATGTTGTTTGCTTTCATTTTAAAAAAATTTTTAAAGGCTTAAAATACCATCCACACCTTCCTCTCTGGTTCAGAGTGTGCTCTGACCCTGTGAGACCTGTCCAATTAAATTGACTGGACTTCAGAGAGGGAAGAGGTGACATCATATGGGGCAGCATTGGCCAGTGCATTTAAAGTTTATGAAGATTTTTTTTTATTTTATTTCCTTTTTCTTTCTTTTTTTTCTTTTTTTTTAAACCTACAGCGGGAGGAGACCTAGTGAATAATTTCCAATAGGACAATCTACATTACATAAAAATAGTTTAGTTAAAAAGGGTTGGAGTGAACACTAAAAATTCACTTTTTTTACAGTGTGAAAATGTTGATTTTGAATACAAATCTATGCTTTTATGTTCTTCACAGCATAAGTACTTTGAAATCTTTACAACCCAACAATTCTTCCTCTTTTGTTTACGGAGCTTATGCTCGCTTCTATTTCAAAGTGAACTACCTCTGGTTTCAAAACACTCCCTCCGCTGGGTTTAAGAGGAGCACGTCCCTTCCCCCTATGTGAAGTCTGATCCTGAGTTTATTTTGGCCTGCAGTTCCAGCAGTGGGGTAAAGTTGATGTAGACGACTATTGTTTGCCATTTCCAAAACTGAACTTCAGTTTCAAGAAAAGGTAATCTCCCTTTCTGAGAGGAAGGATTCCCATGGGCATTGCCAGCTATATAGCAACAAGCGAACATGCCTGCCTCCTCCCCCCTCCCCCCCCCACTAAACTTAACTGCACGCTGGAGTCTGACATTAAACCAGATTTGTGCATCAGGTTCGATACAAATGTCTGTCGAAAGCCTGAGGTAAAAAAAAAAAAAAAAGAATCTAGCAACATTTAAAATCTCCTTTTAAAATTCTAATTGCAGAAGTCTTTTGAATAAAGGCTCCCTAAAAAACAAAACCAGTTTTAGGAAATAAAGAAAGTTGGCCTCAAAGATGCAATTCTCATATTTTCAGGTTTACTTGACAAACCAAACAATTGTGGGTGGTTTAAAGTGGTTGGTGTCTAACAGAGTTTAATATTTTTGGTACAACATTTCAAATAATGTATCTACAAAATGTCCTATAGACGTTAATGGTGACTTATATAGACAAATCATAGGAAAAGTTGATCCGAAAAATATTAAATTATTTGAAAAGTTTACTCAAAAATATCATCAATACCTTTTGGACACCATTCTGGCACTGAATGGGTCAAAAAATATACTTGCTAAGAAAGCTTATCAATGGGAAGAATGGTTTTAAGTGTGAACTAGCAAACTTATTCACTAAAGCTAGAATTTCTAGTAAATTTCAGATTTTAAAGGGACACTACAGACCCTGCAGGAAGAGAAAAGGTAGCGTTTACATTTCTGCCTAGGAACACATTTGGTGACAGTCACTCAGAAGGCCACTAGGATTGGTTTCTGGGTCAGTGCCTGCACTCTGTACATGAAGGCGATGATCGGTGCATCTCTATGAGGAGATGCTGATTGGCGAGGCGCAACGCAGCGTATTGCCACGCATGCGCATTAGCCTCCAAATTCTTTCCTATGGTAAAGCACTGGATTGACTGAGATCGTCAATTCTGATTTTCTCAGTCAAAGAGTTTGTGCAGGGACAGAGCCAGGGCAGCTCTGGAATAAAGATTTGTATTTTGACCCTATAATGTTCATTTAAGGTCAGAGTAGCTGCACTGAAAGGATAGCCGACTTAAGAATTTTCCAGTAATGTATTTTACCGTAAACATGAGATTCAATATGAATTTTCACTTTAGTGAATAACCCAGCAATTTAGATGCATTTTTTTTTTAAAGTGCCAACATATACCGCAGCAGTGCTATAAACACAAGCTATCAGCAAAAAGGTTTCTATTCATTCAATGTTTAAAAAAAAAAAAAAATGTAAAAATCCTTTTCCACCGTCCACAAAAATGAAAACACAATGGCTATGTTGTTTGTTTTTTAAATTAAATTCACTTTGTCGGTAAAATGCCAATATCTTCTTTAGTGACTGAGCTCGAATGTACATTTGTGAGTTGAAAACAGATTTTCCCAATTTAAGTAAAAAGAGCAGACAGAACAAATCTCTAATTCAAAGTTTTCTCAATGTTTGGTCATCACAATGTTTCTTCATCATTAGTGAATATACCCCTCTAGGCTGATGTATTTTAACATCCATGTCTTATCTTCATGTAAGAAGCTCAGATAACGGAGTTCTATAAAGACTGTTTAGATGGGTAACTGACTTCTGCACTGCCCATTCGTGTATGCAGACAACACTTTCTCTAACAGTTAATTTTATTCAAGCAAACTATATACAGGAAAGACAATCTAAATGTGTAACATTATGTGTCAATAAATGTATAAACAACATTACAAACACAGGATTAACAAACGCAGTGAATATAAGAAACTATTTCATTCTTTAGTAAATGAACGACATAGAACATATAAAGGCACTTTTTTTTAATGGTTCTGCAGAGTATGAGTACAAGCTATTTTTACCAATTTCCCCTGCAATAAAAAAAAACTTGGGATATAATAGCATGTTTGTAAGGCACTACAAGAAATGCATAGATTGACTTCAACAAATGGCATTCATAGCTACATATGTATCCGTCATTGTTTAATAGGAATCTTGTGTTCTCACACGCATTGCTACTACTGTCTAGACTAAATTTAAACAGTGTGAGCCCTGAACTTGGAGAGCTGAACTTTACTACAAGCCGGGCAGCTGCAAACCTCTGGCTGACTGAAGGGAGAGAACTGCAAACAAACTGTATTTGAATTTGACAACAAGCACAATCTTTGCTAATCTATGGCTGGCTGAGGCTAATGATAGTAGTTCCAAACCCGCCGTAGGTAAACTCTACAGTAAGCACAGTGACAAACTCTGGCTGGCTGAGGATAATGATAGCTGCAAACAGTGGCAGCCGGTGAATATTTAAGCAGGTGGGGTGCCAGTCTCCCTATATAGCATTTGACTATGCCCCCCTTTCTGGAATCTCCACCTCCTGACAGATTAGACTATATAAAATAAATGTCAATATAAAATTTTAAAAAAAACAAAAATACTTCATATCATTTCATTTTACAGCAGGAGATATGACCAGTGTATTGCATAAAAACATACCCATGGCATTGACAGGATTAAAACATATAAATGATATTATTACTTAGTGTGCAGGAAATTGCTTAGGGCAATGAGTTACACCATCTGTGGCCTGCTGTGATACAATAAAATTATTACAATTATTAGCACAGAAATATCCAAAAGGGAGAAACATTTCCAGAAGTCAAACAGTGCTTGGGTTTGAGGAACACATTTTTCATCAGTCACATCGATTTCCAGAGAAATGACAGTGCCGTCAAAACCAAACACTCAGATGACCCATACGAATAGGAGAATGCTTATTTGTAGGATTCTTTTTTTTCCTTCCTCGCCCTATTCTAGTCTTCATTCTTACTAAATACACTTCAGCAAGTTCTAGAATGCATTTTATTGTGTTTTTGAACTTGCCTTCATCTCCCCGCCAACTTTTTAATGACCATCAGAGGAGAGGTCAGAGCACAGTAGCGAACAATTAAAAGGGAAAACTCAAGCCCTAAGAGAGAGAGCAGACCACTAACTAAATAATAAAATAAAAATAATAATAAACATAAGCAAAGTATTCATCTACACGAGAAAACGAATCGTCACATATTGTATTTGGAACCATATGGATTCTCATGTCTTTAGGCACAGTTAAACTGCAGATGTTAAATGAACACTATAGTAATGCAGACAAATTCATCTTAATGAAGTGGTGTGGGTGCAGTTGTCCTGTCATTTTAACCCTGCAATGTAAAACATTGCAGTTTTTTTTTTTTTTTTTGCTTTTTAAAAACAGCAGTGTTTACATTGCAGGGTTAAAGTACCTCTGTCTTCCTAACAGCCACTAGAGGCACTTCCCCCTCCAGACTGATTAAAACCAAGGATCATCTGAGGAGCACAGAATTAAGCTGCTAATGTGTATTGAAGAGATCGCGAAGATGTCAGCAGAGGAGTCCCAGCACTGGAAAAGAGGCAAGTAGTCTATTTTTTGGTTAATTATTTTTAATGCCAAAGGAGGGTGGACATAAGGAAATCTTCTGTCTAGAAATAATGATTGTTATCGTCTGGACTATAGGTTCCCTTTAAGGGAACACTATATTGTTAGAAATACAAAACTGTTTTCCTAAATTCATGTTAAAACACTCTTTAAACACTTAGCTGATTCCAATGAAAATGTCCTTCGGTGTTGGATCCCTCGACCGACAGTGTGGCGATCTGGGAACTTATTGCACATGCACTGCGAGAACCGCGCCAGCATTAGGGTTTCCCTCAGGAAAGCCATGAATCAGTGCTTTCCTATATGGATTTTAAAGACGTTTGATGCCCTTGTGCAAAGAGTGAGGACGTCCAGCATTGTTTAATGGCGTTAAACGCCGTTCAATGGCAGGAAATGCCTCTAGTGGCTGTCTGAAAGACAGCCAGTAGAGGCAGTCTTAACCCTGCAATGTAAACATTGCAGTTTCTCTAAAACTTGAATATTGTATATTTAGGGTTAATGTAATCGGTACAGTGCACCCAGACCACTTCAATCAAATTAAGTGGTCTGGGTCCCTACAGTACCCTTTAAGCATCTGTAACAAAGCACAATTTCATTTAAAAAGTGACAAAGTTAATAAAAACCAAGTTACGTCTGGGTCCTGTTTCCTGTAAAAAAGAAGAATTGGGGGCGGGAGGGGGGCTTGGAGTTGTAAAATTATGTTTCTTTTCAAACAACAGCAATCATGATATTTTGCAGCAGTACATCAAAAAGACTGTTTAACACTTTAACTAGTTGCATAAAGGAATTTTTGAAAGGATTTTCCTGATTCCACTCCTTATCCTGAAAACATGTAAGCGGAACTGGAATTTAGATATATATTGGCTTTTAGTAAAAGATAAAGTACAAAATGTGCCTGTTTATAAACACTGCACAGACAAAAAAAAGCAAACATAATTTGAGTACAGTGTGTCTTTGAATTATCAAAATATTTTTTTCAAAGAAGTTGGCTTTAATTAATTTGATAAAATTTAGAAACACACTGTAGACTTCAAATTATGTTTTTTTTCTTGTGTTTTTTTTGTGGCACTAAAAAACACATACAAACAATATGTTTTTAAAAGAAGAAAAACTACCACAACAAGAGGACATAGTCTTAAATTAGAGGGACAAAGGTTTAAAAATAATATCAGGAAGTATTACTTTACTGAGAGGGTAGTGGATGCATGGAATAGCCTTCTAGCTGAAGTGGTAGAGGTTAACACAGTAAAGGAGTTTAAAAGGACCACTCTAGGCACCCAGACCACTTCAGCTTAATGAAGTGGTCTGGGTGCCAGGTGCAGCTAGGGTTAACCCATTTTTTTTTATAAACATAGCAGTTTCAGAGAAACTGCTATTTTTATAAATGGGTTAATCCAGCCCTCAAATCCTCTAGTGGCTGTCTCATTGACAGTCGCTAAAGGCGCTTGCGTGATTCTCACTGTGAAAATCACAGTGAGAACACGCAAGCGTCCATAGGAAAGCATTATGAGACTGGCTGAATGCGCGCGCAGCTCTTGCAGCGCGTGCGCATGCAGCCAAAAGGAAGGAGAGGTGGAGGATCAGAGGCGGAGAGCTCCCCGCCTGGCGCTGAAGAAAGGTAAGTTTTAACCCCTTTCCTCTCCCCAGAGCCCGGCGGGAGGGGGTCCCTGAAGGTGGGGGCACCCTCAGGGCACTATAGTGCCAGGAAAACGAGTATGTTTTCCTGGCACTATAGTGGTCCTTTAAGCATGCGTGGGATAGGCATAAGGCTATCCTAACTATTAGATAAGGCCAGGGACTAATGAAAGTATTTAGAAAATTGGGCAGACTAGATGGGCCGAATGGTTCTCATCTGCCGTCACATTCTACGTTTCTATGTATAAAAATATATGCTGTGCTTGAATAAAAATATATATATATTTTTTTTAACAATTTCTGCAGACAATACGGAACAAACTTGGTTTGTATGCCTTAAATAATCTTCTAGTATACTAAAAGTTCTAAAATAAAGATCTAGATTCCGGGATTACACGGAAACCAACGACTAGCTAAAAAGGTGCCTTCCCTGGCTAAATATGATGATATTTTGTTTATTGTTCTGTATCACCCCAGCACCGAAGACTGAACGGATATATCACACAATGCCACAACTTTCAGCACTTGGCATAGAAATGCATTGCAAAAATGTTATCAAATCACTGTCAAGGAATATAAAATGATTACAATGTATGTACACAATATGCTCCGCACAAAGAACCTTCAAGGCCCCTTGCCCTGCTAACATTTATGTAACAGAAAAAAATAAAAGGGAGCCATCTGGTTTATTTAAAGAGGAAATGTCTCTTCCCAGTATTTTTATTATTATGGTTTATTGATCCTATATAGTTAAATATATGTGTTTGTGAGGTGCGAAAGAGAAAGCTGAATGTGACAATCAAAACCATTTTATCCTACAACTGGGCACCTCCATGTTAGCTCCTTGTCAATCATTCTTATACAAGATCTGCCCTTAGCGCCTCACAGTCAGTCTAGAAAGCAGTAGAAATTAAACAATGTTTCTACTTCTCATTGCACTGTGTGTTTTGGTTGTACCTTGTCTGAACTTGATTATGTTGTAATTTTCTAAATCTTTAATATAAATTTCAAAGAAAAAGGAACATCTCATGTACAGGTGATTTTCAATGTTTTATTCAATGATGCACTACATAAGGAAAAGACAGCTACCCTTTAACATAATTTTATTACACATATACGCAAAAGAAAGGGAAAACATCAAGTATGCTCATAGTTAGCGGAACAAAAAGAAAACAAATAGGCTATATGACAAACAGGTGAGACAACTGCAACCACTTATTCAGCATATCTCAATGTGTATGTGGTGTGCTCCTAATTATTGGTTTAAATTACAATTAATATTTAAATAGAGGTATGCACCAGACCCCTAACTATGGTTTATGCAACAATACAAAATTCAACCAAATAAAAAGGATGAGGATGAAATCAACTAAATACACAGTACCGGTAACAAAACACTAAAATAAATTTGAATATGGGGAAATATTTGTATGACGTTCAAAGTTAAAATACTGTGTCATTTCTTATTTTTGAAACAATATAATTTAGAAACAATACATGTCAATTAGCGTTCTTATGCAATGTGTTCATTTAAAAAAAATAAATAAATAAATAAAAAACCAAGATGCCTTTACTGACAACACAGTTTAATTTTTCCAATCCAGCTGTTCTGAACTAAAATTCAAAATTCACTTTAAATTCCTGACATCTGTTGCCACATAGAATGCTTAGGACAATAGGAGGGGGTAAAACCACTCAGGAAAATAAAGTGACGAGCAAGAAAAATAAACACAAAAAAAAGAGAGACAAACAAATATCCGGCTATTAGAACATTTATATTTTATGTATAACCTGCAAATATTTTGTATTCATGAAGTGCCAACATATAGCCGCAGTGCTGTAGGGATATTGACGGTTTAACAATATATAGAAAAAGAGAACTCATTTACTGTTTACTTGTATATGTCACACTAATACTATTTTACATTTCCAAATCTTTAAATTCAGGATTCAGCGAAGCCCTGTAATCTATTGCAGGATATTTAATAACGTATGAATGCATTCTGAGATAGACCTGATCTCTGTAAATATCCCATATAACAAATCAAAACATTGGACAATAATTTGGGAATACAGTATCTCTTCGCTTTAACCGCTTTGCTTGTTTTGATATGTTTCAGCAAAAACCACCTGGACGCTCGAAACGCATTTAAAATTTTAGATTAGACATGCTGGGAAAAAGAAGAACAGAACATATTTGTTTGCCTAGTGAAACCAAAATGAAAGTTGAGTTATTAACATGCCAACTGTGTTGCTGTATATGGTCAGTAGGCTGGGAGAAGATTATCACTGAAACTCAACAATCAGTGACTGACATTCTATAAACAACCTCAAACCTTTCAATTTAAAACCTTTTTTTTTTTTTTTTTTTAAATACTATTCTATAGACATGGAAAGAGATATTAAAAAAAAAAAAGTTATTGCCAAATATCAGGAATTACAAATTATCATAATTCATTGATATAGTATCAAATTCTGCATAATACGTATGTCACAAGGACAAGAGGAATAACAAAGAAATACTGGAGAGAAATTAAGAAATAAGAGTAAGAAAAACAGATTGGTTTACTTAACAGTGCAACAGTACAAAACAGAAACAATTAAACGCTTTTACAATTCGGCTATATTTTAATCTTGGCTGTTTGGGCCTAAAGTTTGGAATTTCGTTTTCAAATCATACAAACACACACAATTTACATTTTATATCCTGATCTGGATATTATTATAAGGGACGGATCATGACTTCAAATGCTGTACTGCACGGATGACGGTGGAAACAACTCTGTGTGTTCAGCGCCACAGAACATGTTGGCAATACATAAATACCAGTAAACACTAAAAATAATAATTGGTTTACTTCTGTCTAGTTCAGGGGGCATTATTTTCAAAAGAAACTGGACATGCATATCCCTGACTGCCCGAAATTAGTGTTATATCATTTTAGTGATGAAATGATGGTATCATCTGAAATAGCTGATGACAGGGAATATAACTCCAATTAATCTCAGGCAGCACTGGGACATGCACGCTGTCATAACAGTATACACCGCATCTTAGCATACTACCCCTAATCCTAGCCTAAAAAACACAATGCAATATAAAAAGAGACATCACAATCAATTGTTTGAATCTATCAGTGTTCAGATTAGTTTGTCTTTAGAATCCCTAGATATTTTAGTTTATTTTTGTCACACATACAAAATGCCTTCCTCTGTATCAATGTTTATAAAAATACATGCACACAAACGCTCAGCACATGCATAGAAAACAGCAGTAGAAGACTACAACTGTGTTGTACAGTCACCATACATAACATTTCCAGGCGCCAGAATTGTAACATTAGATATTCCCTAAGCTGCTGGGATTTATCCAGAACTTCTTAAACATATAAGACTCACACATATACACATCAGCCTCTATAAGTAGAGCCAGAGCACTCACATAACACATCTATTTGGGTGCAAGAATAGGAAAACACAATTAGATAATGCCAAGAAGTGCTGGGTGGTTAAACAAAGTGCAACTGTTTTATCGCTCGGTTGACACTTCTACAATTACACTGTCCAGATGAAAGCTAGTAGACCTTAGAAGGAATAAGCCTGAAGAAGCTGCTCAAAGCAAGTATTAAAATTATATGTAAAGAGAAATAGAATTTTTGCAAAATATACATTAAGTTTACCTGCTAAGAAAAAAAGGACGCACACTATAAAATCTTACAAGAATTCCAGCAAAATAAATACAATTTGTTAGCATTTAAAAAATAAAAAAGTCAATAGCGCAATGAACCTTCAGGCACAGTTTGATTGTTTCATAAAATCGCAATATCTTATAAGGGTTTTAAACAATCATAAGTAAAATGCATTAGGGGTACGAAGATAACATGATGTGTTAACCCTTCAAGGTACTACAACACAAACAGCATACCAGCCATCTATATATTTAGCAAAATACATATACACAGAAGGGATGTAGCCCTTGAATACCGGTTCAAATTTATAAGTATGCATGCATAATAGTGTTATGGATAAAGCTAGAATAGCACCCAAAAGCTTACAATCTATATTTTGAAAAGTATGGCACAACCGTATTTGATCTAAGAAAAACAGAAAGCAGATCACCGAATGGCATCTTTAAACTACTCAAGATTTCCAAACAACTTGGGTTTTTCTCTACAGACTAGTTGCTTAGAAAGCATGAGTTAAACAATACAGATCATTTTTATTATAGCTGCAATTCTTAATTCTAAAGTCTCTGTAGACATGAACAAATCTCAGGTCTTAAACAGCTGTATTCTATAAAGTATTTTATGTGTCCAATAAAATGTATTATTTTATTCCCACAATATCAGGTTTAACCAAATACAATAAGAGTGTGCAATGGAATAGCAAAATAAAATAGTACACAGATGTGGCACCCACTGGGTTACCACTGCATAACACAAAGTCTTCTTTTCCTTTAAGGCAATCATAGGCAAATAGGTTGCCCCTCCAACTGTTGCAGGACTACAACTCGCACAATGCTTTGCCATTATGAAGATTGGCAAAGCATCAAGGGACTTTTTAGTTTTACAAAAATAATGGGGATTCTAGCTTTCTGCTCACCCTTTGATTTAAGAATGTCATGAAAACAGCTTCAGGGTGCAGGACTGTGACCAGGAGGTGCTGTGAGATATTCAATGGGTAGAAAGTAAAGTTGGGAACAAAGTGAGTTATGTGGAGGAAGCTCTGGGACTGTGTAAATTTATAGAAAGTGCTGTCTGATGGAGTGACCTGAGTGCATGGCTCCTAAAGGTGCTGGTAGCTATTCAATGGAGAGAAGTAAAGTTTGGGAACAAAGTGAGTTATGGGGAGGGAGCTCTTGGATTGAGCTCTGTGATAGTGTAAAGTTATACAAAGTCCAGTCTGATAGAGGGAGCTGAAGGCAGAGGGTGAGTGCGGGGCTCCTGGAGGTGCTTGGAGTTATTCAATGGGGAGAGGTAAAGTTTGGGAACAAAGTGAGCTGGGGTGAGAGAGCTCTGTGATAGTGTGAAGTTATAGACAGTGCTGTCTGATAAAGTGACCTGAGTGCAAGGCTCCTGGAGCTATTCAATGGGGAGAATTAAAGTTTGGGAACAAAGTGAGCTCTGTGATAGTGTGAAGTTATATAAAGTGCTGTCTGAGAGAGTGAGTGAGTGAGTGCAGGGCTCCTGGAGGTGCTGCTCTGGGCTTTGCATAGTTTACTTTTTATGGCCCTGTGCAGACACCCCCTGCCCTCACACAGCAGCTGCCGATCTCCCCCCTCTCAGCCAGCCAGGGGCACATGGCAGACTCCGCTCACTCCCTCCCAGCAGCGCTGACACAAAGAGAGAGCCCGAACTCACCCCGGCTGAGCCCCAGGCAGCAGCACAGGAGCAGCGATGCTCCGAGAGGGACTCCCATGTTCTTCCCGGTCGTGTTTTCCCCTCAAGTCCTCCCCTCCGTCCGCTCCGGGTCTGTCTCAAGCAGCTCCCATGTCCTGGCACCCACCTCCTCCTGCAGCCCCGCCTCCCGCTCATCACGCCCCGCCCCCTGCCACAGGCACACCCCCTCCTTCCATACACACCTTACCGGCCACGTCCGCGCCCACCCCACTAGCCCCGCCCATATCCTGCTTTTACTCGCTACCTTGGTCTGGCAGAGAGCATGTCAATCAAAAAAAGTCACGCCCACCTGGCTGTATCCTTTCTTTAGTCTGGCAGCGAAGCATTCTCTGCGAGTTTTCGTTCTGACACGCCCCCTATGACATGTTAGCCCCGCCCATCTTTTCCAAGGTTGTCTTTTTTTTTTTTTTTTTTTCTTGCAAAGTTGGCCAGTGGGCGGCGCTGGTGACGTCACGGGCATCCCTTGGTAACAGGGGAAAGGTTGGGGAGTAAAGCTCCTTGAATGAGAGCTTGTGATTGTAGCTGTCTTGAATGTCAACACAAAGGCCATGGAGTCTGTTGACTGGAGTTGGAGGCTTTTGTTGTTGTTGTTGTTATTGTTGTTGTAATAATAAAAAAATTAAAAAAAAAAAAACCTGTGAAATCCAATGTCTGCCATCCTTTTCTACACACTGGGTCCTGTTCATATCAGCCTGTTATTCCTATAGGCATGGATTTATTTCCAAAACTGTAACCAAAACACTCACATTGTGCCCCCATAGCATGCTGCAAGAGTTTGGCATATATCATGTCAATTTCACTTTATTTTAACATAGGCTGGGCTGTTATGTTAAATTGTCAGGATACAAATGCAATGTGAATTACAATTTTATTTTAGACTGAAATTGTATATTTATTTTCATGGTTATTGTTGGGGCTCCTATTCTCAGACCCGAGGAAGGAGACTTTAGCTGTTCTCCTTATTCAGGCTTGATAAAGCTACACACTTGTGCTCTGGGGTGTGGGGGGGGCAATACATCAGTCAGACAGTAAAGTACGCTGAATTACTGGTATAATTTATTGTGCGTAAGCGTACAGTTTACATAAACTTACATCTTATGCTTGCAATTAAATCTCAAA